CTTTGGGAACCCTGAGAACATGAACACACACACACAAACACATACACAGACAGAAGTGATATATTTATAATTTCATTCTCTTCATTTAACCCTTTACCAAGACAGAATGGGAACTAGTTCTTATTTTCAACTCCACTCTGATCAAAAGGAAAGGAATGCAGAGAAAATGAATGTATCACTCTGAATCCTTATCCTTTCATTATTAGATCATGCCTGGACACGGTGGTATGGCTACTAGAGCATCCTCAGGTCATAAATCGTATTTTATAGTTAGAAGAGAAGCCCCTCTGCCCCCAGTGTTACAGTGACAGTGTTCATACTCTACCTCCTCCAGATCATCCAGTTCCTCCAGGCGAGTTCGGACTTTCTCAGACACAGCAGAAGATCCTGGACTGGGTGCTTTTCATACACAAATATTGAAACAAATGTCAGATAAAAACAGCTGTCTGTTGATGACAGAGGACACCTGACTGATGAGCTGATATAGATTTATTAATGTAACTCTCAGATTAATTACAAACCTCTTTAAATCTGACATGGTCTTTTATGGCATGGGTAAAATTACCAATTTTATATATACGAGCATATACTTATGACTGCAATAATCTCTATCTATCATGTCTTACCTTTTTCAGAGCCCATGAAAAGATTCTACAAGGGAAAAAAAGAATGATTATCCAAGAATAGATTAGCTGTGTAAATGTAAACTATTAAAAAAATTTAAAAAAACATCGGGTAATTACATTGTTGTTACCCTCGAAATTCTTGCATAAACACCCATATGTTATAACATTAAATAAGAAATAACCAAAAAGTTAGTTCAAAATAAGAAAACAGTAACAAAATGTATGAACGACATATAACTTACTATAGAGAGTTTTTCAGTTGTGGTGAATCTGGTCAGGATCTCTCCTCGCTTCGATGACCACGGCTCAAAGTCTGCTCCCACCGAAACTTCCTCATTCTCCCTCTTTTTCCTCCCAAGATCCTGAAAAATGAAAGCACCTTAATTTATTCTTTATCAAAAAGTCAAGAAGATTTTGTTAGTTTGTTAAAAAACAAACATGCATGTTTCTTGCAGTGGGCACTGACCCCTGCTGATGCACTGCGTGACATTATCGAAGCCTCACTGGCTGAGGCTGCGGCAAACATGGACAAAGGGTCTGTGCCATCCAGCATGGAGCTCAGAGGATCAGCAGGCACCGAAGAAGAGGAGGAGGACGAGGAGGAGGTGCTGCCTTTACGAGTACCTCGGCGAGTCTTGGTGTCTGTCACCTGTGATGTGATCAGAGGGTTAAGTAAGTGAAGGTTGACAGCAGAGATGTCACGATGAAGGTAAACATCAGCAGGATGCTGATACCATTATAGGCTTGAGGGGATGATAGTCTCCAAACTCCACCGTCGTCACCTCTGAGCGACATCTCTGCAGCTCTGCATCATAGTCACGATCACGAGAACGCCTGATCACGAAAGTGACAGGAGAAGACAGGGAGGGGAACTCCTTTATTGTTGGCTTGTTGTTTATATGGAACAAACAGTGATTTTTAATTATAATTAATACTAAAGTTAAAATCACATCATAATCTTGACTTGAAAATTAATCTTGAGCATTCTATCTATTAAATGTGATGTGCAGTATAACGTTGACAAATGGCAGGAAGTAGTGTTAAAGTGACTAAAATTCCTATTTTGAAAAAACCTGTTGACATAATGGTTTACAAGCAAAAGACACGCATGCAAGAAAATGTGCCAAATATACAGGCATATTTAGTTGCATGGGTACGCTTAAAATATGCACAACACGTTTAAACCCAGCATTATTTTATTTTTATTTGAAAATCGCATAATTTTACATGGGAAAACATCAACTCACCACTGCACGGCGGCCATCTTTCTTTAATCATGTGACAATTCTGTACTTCCTGGTAACGTCAAATTAGACGATTTTATTTTTTTCGTCTAAACGTGGTTAATAAAATTATAAGTATTATAATGATAAGTAAAAAATGAATTAAATTCAAAAGTAAGGATTTATTTATTTTTATAGAGTCAGTGTTGATTTAGAGACGTTTAATGATATTTACACGGATTTAAAAACCTCATTACCCAGAACACTTTGCGAGTCCCTGAAGCGAATTCGTTACCAAAGAGCTGATACAAAGAAGATACTCTTCTTGGAAACTATTTCTTCTTTTACGAGGAATGTTTAAAGTACCTTCTGTTTTCATACAGTCAGCTTTCTAATAAAGGAAGCACGATTTTCTACATATACAAAATACTAAAATTTGATGTTAGTACATTAAATCGTTTACAGTTAAAAGAAAAACAACTTTTTTTGGGCGCTACATCTTTACAGCAGACGATCTTTCCATGGGGCAAACACCCGCTGTTTCCTCCAGTCAGCAGACCTCTGCTAACACTTTTAGCCTCAACATGAGCTGACCGCGGTGCAAAAGACTGTTTTAGTCCCTTCACCTGTACAGGTAAACTACAAGTCCCACTCGGTTTGGTTTCTATTAAAACAGAGACTAAAATGAAGGTGTACTGATTACGATAGCAAGTTGTTAGCTAGGTGACCTAAGGCATATTAATGCAGGATAGATGAGTTCACGGATTGGTTTTCCAGTAAAACTATTTATTAAATTACAATAATCGTGAAACATACTTTTATATGAGCATTCTCTTGGTTGGTCTGTGTCTAAATACTTCGGCAGGTCAGATATTTCTCGGCAAAAAGCCTAGTCAAAAATGCAATTAAAACAATTTACCAAGAAATCGTCCAAAAATGACTAGAAGTCATTTCAGAGATAGCTAAAGAATGAAGCACAAGGATGACCTTAATTGTATCCAAGAAAGCAAAAATAACCAACACTTACCCTTAGTTCTTGAAAATTATCAATTATAGCACACATAGCTAGTGTATAACCATGACAATAAATAAAAGCGCTATGGTAATAAAAATAAAGGCAACAGTGTTTGTGCAAGAAATAAAAACAAATTCATTCAGTAGAGTGTCTTTGCTGTCACAGCTTTCTGATTAACATGATTTATGTATGTTTAGTCCGTAGAAGCTGAAGAAGCCTTATCTGTGTAATCAATACTCACTTTCTAAGAATAAAGAGCCAGGATCAGGTGGCACTTAATTTCCTTCATCTTTCACCTTTGCTGTTTCCCTCTTACTGGGTTACAACTCTTCATCTCTCTGCAGCTGACATGTCTGCCCTCAAGCTCTTAATGTGCAGTTAATTATTAACAACAGTTGTTGATTTGTTGGGGTTGAAGGAGATCCTTCATCACCTGATAACCCTGACCTCCTTTTTTCTCCATAATGAGATGCTTCTGAGAAAGCCTCACTTCTTACAGCTCCGTTTGGAGGTTATGGTGAGGATGGAGACTTCAGCGATGGTCAGGCTTCGCTACGAAGAGCTGCTGTTTTACGCAGCCTGTGTTTGTAACAGCTGGTGCGTTTTCCTCTGTGTTTGTGTTTGTCTGGAGGGCAGAGTGTCCAGGAAAGGAGGAGGAGGTGCAGGTGTTGGCATGCGTCAGGGCTGCAGGCGGCAGCTCTCCCGGGCCATGCTGCGCTGGTGTCGTCCCTTCTGTCCTTCCCGAGGAAGAGTAGGAGAAGGATGGGGCAACAAACTGTGGACCAGCAGGAGGTTCCTGGAGCTGTGGACTTACAGCAAGCTCCTGCTCAAGTCTCTGTTCTACAACAGCCTCAACAACTCGGACACGCTGCTGGATTGCGTCTTCGAACCAGTCTACTGGATTGTGGACAATGTGACGCGCTGGTTTGGCGTAGTGAGTTGACCTCTCTTCACCTTCTCTTCCTCACCTCCCGCCCTCTCTCCTCACCATCAGTCTTTTCCTCTCACTTCCAGGTGTTTGTCTGTCTTGTCGTCCTCCTCACAACGTCTGTAGTGGTGATCGTCTACCTGTATGTTTTACCCACCATCTTCAGCACCTACCCTGCACACTGGATCGTCTGGCACCTCTGCTGTGGCCACTGGCTCCTCGTCATGGTGGTCTTCCATTACTACAAGGCCACCACCACCTCTCCAGGTCACCCACCCAAGGTTAATGACCTTCCAACCCTGAAAACCATGACTTTAATCTCAGACACAGAACAGACATATTTTTGAAAGAATATTAATAACACAGTTGTCAACAAAGAATTTTTTATTGTTTCAGGAAAATATTACTATTCCCTCTGTTTCGATCTGTAAAAAGTGTATTTCACCAAAACCTGCCAGGACGCATCACTGCAGCATCTGCAACAGGTGAGACCAACTACACAGGACGACTGTTTGTTAAGCCGACCACTGAATTTACTCTCTGCCATTTGTTCCTCAGGTGTATTTTGAAGATGGACCATCACTGTCGTATCCTTAAAAAAAAAAAAAAAACACCAAGCAACGTCTTTCATGTTTTGTAATTTTGAAACCTTGTTCATAACCTTTGACCTGAACGTAATCTGCAGCCTGGCTGAACAACTGTGTCGGTCATTTCAACCACCGCTACTTCTTCTCCTTCTGCGTCTACATGACCCTTGGCTGCATCTACTGCAGCGTCAGCAGCCGGAACCTGTTCCTGGAGGCGTACAGCGCCATAGAGGTGAGGGAGAACCAGCCAGAACGTTCTGATGATAACTTGCATTTAGTTTTTTTTTTAATTTTTTTTAACTGCAGGTTAATGATGAACAGCAGGATGGAGAAAAATAAAGACTGTTGTTGATTTAAAATGTCACAGGAAACTAGAGATGTGAAAGTGATCTCAGGTTAACTTCTCATTCCAAGTAGACCAGAGTGTGTTTGTTCAGCAGATGGTGGACAAACAGCCTTGTCTTTGATTACTATCAGGAATATTTAAGCAGTGTTTTTCTGAGGGAGAATTACATCAGAAAACAATGGGACATGAAACATCTTGAGGTCAGCTTCAAGGCAAAAACAACTGTGTGTAAACCAGTGGTTTTCAAAGTGAGGGGACGGGCCCCAGCCAGGGTGCACTGAGCAATAGGAAAGGGGGGTTTGCTACAAGGCAAATTCATTTTAATTTAATTTAATATCATTTTTAATTGGGACACTGATTTGTAATGTTATTAGCAGTTTTGCAGGAATGTGAGTGTTTAAAAAAAAAATCAGTAGAAACAAAAGCCTGAACTTTTTCTCTGTCCTGTTCAGAGTTATTATGAAACTCCTCCTGCTGCCGACACCTTCAAAACAAACACCGATTACAAATGCATCATTTACCTCTGGGTGCTGACCAGGTGACCAGGAATTCATCTTTCTTTTTTTCATTTATTAAATAAGATAAATGAAGTTCAAACAAACCCCTGTCCCTCCCTCCCTGCAGCTCGGTGGCGGTGGCTCTGGGAGGACTCACCCTGTGGCACACCATCCTCATCTGCAGGGGAGAGACCAGCGTGGAGCGTCACATCAACCGCAATGAGACCAAAAGACTCAGGGAACAGGGCAAGGTACTCACAAAGAACAACATACTGTGTACTGTATATGTATGCACTTTGGAAACTATTTTAGACAATTATAAACTACCACAATTGTTAGCTCACTGTTCTGGTCTGTTACAGAGGTTCAGAAATCCATATCATCATGGCACAATGAAAAACTGGAAGATCCTTTTTGGGGTTGAGAAACGGAGGTTAGTTCAAGTCCTAGTACTTTGAACTTTAAACGATCCCTAAACCCATCATTTAATTCCATAATTTAATGATGGGAATATACTTTACCAGAGGTCTGCAACCTGTGGCTCCTGGACCACATGCTGCTCTCTAGCCCCTGAGAGTCACTGACACTGGGTGGATTTTATCTAGTGGTAGAATGATAAATATGGTGATAAAATGTGGGTTCTGTTACCAAATGTTAAAAAACAAGACCATTACATCTTGATTTTTGTTTTTTAGTCACTGGGTCACACGTGTCCTGTTTCCATCTGGACATCTGCCCAGTGGTGATGGTATCGTGTGGGACTGCAGCTATACCAGGAGAGACCCCTTGGCCATCTGACCTCTGCAGTCTGCATCACAGGGACACATAAGGAGACAACTGACCATTCATCACATCAGAGGCAACATAATCCTGCATCATGGTATTCATTTAGACCACCTGGTTAAAATATGTTTTTTGAAACGCGCTGCTGGACAGTGTAAATTTTATTTTGCTGTCTCTCGTGTAAGATTTGCAGACAAAAAATTATTTTGGTCTGCAAAAAACTCCAACAATTTTTTCCAGTTACCTTTTGCACCATCATTAAACACATCATAAAAAGTGAGTGAGATTTGGACTGAGTGATTGGTGATAGTGCAAAACTGAGTCACTTCAAGAAAACTCCTTCAAGAACCGGGAGCAGAAAATTCAACGTGAACTTGGAGTCCATGTTGATTTAAACTGAACCTGTCGATTTGAAGTGGACCGCGTTATTCCTCTACGTGGTTGCATTGTGAGTTTCCTGAAAATTGGACCAGAGATTATTTCTGGTTTTTGGTTTGAATTTTGGGCTGAATTTACACAGGATGTTGTTATTTTTTGTGTCTATTCATTAAATGCCCTTAAATTATTAAGATAATTTTAATTTTATATATATTTTACATTTGCCTGAATTTATTGATATTTTGCCATGAAATGAACTGACGGAGAAAAGTTTACAACTGTAATGTTTTGACATGTGTGTGAGAGACACAGACCTGAACTATTCCTGTGCCAAAGAGGAAAAAAAAAAGAAGCAACATTTCTCAATGAGTCCATTGATATGTTTAACAGACTATTCAGGCCTTTTTTTAAACCACTCAAATCCTGGTTTGTAGATTCAAACTTCCAACTTTTTTTTCTTTTAAATAATTAAACAAAAAAACCCCAACTGTGAATATAACTGTGACATATGGCTGTGACGTGGACAGGGCCGCGCTCCTGTGTTTGACTGTCTTTTATAATTTTAGAGTTTGTGATAATGCTGCTGTTTTTATCAGTTATGGGTGAATAAAATACACACAAAAATGGTCAGGGTCATTCTTAAGGACTTTAATGACATCTTAAGTTAGACATTGACATAATAATAAAAATGTTTTTCAGTTGTCAGACACAAGGTGATGAAGAGTCAACACCTGCTCAGCTGTTGATCAAATACAAAGGCAGATTTGACAGAAAATACCATCAGTTCTCTCTTCATACTACAGAACAAGGTGCATCGAAGAAACATCAGAGTCCTTTGTTGAAAATCTGACAAGACTTCTATTTCTTTATGATGAAGTACATAAATACCAACCAGGGTTTACTTGGCACAAATTCATATCAGGATCTCTCTCTAGTACATGAAGACAAAGTTAAGATACACAACTTGTACTTGTTAATATATAAAAACTAGTCATTATTTTGTTTTTGTATCGTTGGTAATTGCTCCACACTCAGTCCAGTCTCTTTTTTGTGCATTGATGAAGATAAAGGCAATTGATATGAAAACACTCAAGCTAAAAGAGGAAGGAGGAACAGGAACAGGAGGTGAGTGAATATAATCACCTTCCTCCAGGACTCCCTACAAGGAACCTGTGAAGAGAACATGAACATGATTCAAGACAAAGATGAATACATTTACCACTCTACACAACTTACCTCAAAATCTTATTACAAATACTATGCAACACATCAAGACACATAAGTGCATATAGCATGGAACATGTAATGACATTTTGAGCACACCAGAGTTTAAAACTAGAGCTGCAACTACTGATTATTTTTTGTAATCCATCGATCCGACTCTCACCACTCTCCCCGAGCCCGAACCGCCTCCCTCCTCACCAGCCTCTTCTTATCGTCCAGAGGTTGAGCTAGAGCTCGAATCACACGAGCCCTGAAGGGCAAAATCTGAAAGGATTTACACATTAATAAATGATATACTTTTGTGAAGAGTTTTTTTAGGATTGATTTATTATGGGACTAGAGGTTTTTTTTCCCAGTTCTGGGAATAACCAATATATGAACGGAAAACTATTTTGGTCTTACCTCATGTGTGGGGAACTGTGAGAGAGCATGGACGCACCGCAGAGAAACAATCTTTACTTTCTACAGGAAATATTAGAACAACATTTGGTTAAAAGACAAGGATTAAATGATGCATTAAGTCATGACCTAATGCTCAAACTCTTACTCCATGCAGAAATGTACATTTTTATCAGAAATGTGAACAGCGCCATGCATCATTGTCACTAACCATGGCTGGACTGGAGATCAGAGCCAACAACCTGCTGACCAACGCTTCCAGCTGTTGGATGATAGCAGGAGGTGGGTCAATGAGGACGGGCTCCAAGCAGGACAGTGTGGACAACTGGACTCCCTGGTCAGGACACGACAGCGCCTCCAGTAACAGTGTCAGTAGCTGGGCAGTGAGAATCAGCCATACAGAGTGAAAAGAACGGTCACTGTTTAAACATTAATAAATCAATGCAGTTTCCTGTTGACTCACTGCGGGCAGCTCTGTGATTTGGACCTGCTTCGGTAGTTGATTAACTATGTTGGACAAGGCCTTCAGGTAGTTGGACTTTTTCTCTGGAGAAAAAGAAAATTTCATCACAAAAATCTATCAATGTTGGAAGAAGTTGCTAACACAAATTGCTAGCTTGGTGTTTCTAGTCTTTTCCCATGGATCTCTACATGTATCTTATATTTGTTTTACGTTTTTTTTTTACCTTGCGGAGCTGCATTGAAGCCCTGCACCAACTTTGCAGAATTCTCACTAAAAAACCTTTGACGGTACATAATCCGAATGTCAGCGTGACAGCGGCGATTTAGGACGTCTTCTGAGTCGCACATGAGTAACGAGAAGCCGTCCGCTGCCATTGGACCCAGATCAGAATCATTCAGCAGAGAGAAAAGCTTTGGGAGAATAAAATGCAACAAGAAATGTAAAAAAAAATAAAAATATGTTTTTGTTTTAATTTCAAGTATTTATGTTGTAATAAATATAATGTAGGTTTGAATTTGTTCACCTTGTCAGTCAGAGTGGCCGAGACAGGATGGTATCTGAGGAGCAAAGCTTTAGCCACCTGAGGACAAAGGCAACAGTGTCACTACCAGAAAAACACTTTTTTAAAAGACTAAACTAAAGTCTCACGGTAAAAGTCCGTACCCAGATTAGGAGGGTAAAAGCTTGGGTGCGTACAGTCGAAGATGTGGAGTCCAGCTCTCCACACACTGTCTTCAACGTACTCTGGATTAAACTGTCCAGAGCTTCTCCTGAAGAAACCAGAGCAAAATGTGTTTGTTTTTAAACGTTCAAAAGTTCAAATAAAAACAGGTGACTCCGGACAGAGCTCTGACTACAGCACCGACCCTGTGGATGTTTGTTGACCAGTCCAGAAAAGCACTTGGCAGCAGAGGTGAAGGAAAGGTGGTGGCTGCAGGTGCAGCTCATCTCCTCCAACTGTGACAACAGACGGTTCATCTGAGGAACCTCCACCTGGACACAAAAAAAAAGGAAATACCAGAAATTATTTTGAACTTTATATTTACAAAATTTAAATAATTTAATTTTCTAACGTGCACTTACACTGCGAGGCAGTGAACACACACAGCCCATGAGCAGACAAACCATCTGAGACTGGCTCCACGACTCCCCCTATCGTTGTGAGGAAAAATTACAAAACACTACCATCAAGTTTATCACATAACATAATAAAGAGGAGCATATTTCAATAAGTCATAATGTGAGTTGGATGAATATATAAGAGACAGGAGGTAAAGGCACACAGGGAAAACTCTCTCTCTCCCTGTTTTATATAAAACATACAGACCTTGAGCAGCTGGATCTGCGAAGGGAAGGAGTTGTCGGGCAAAAGGGAGACGTCAGCGTCTAAGAAGAGGGAGACAACCTTTTTTGCTGTCTCTGCAGCCAACCTGGAGAGAGAGAGATTATGTTGTATGTCATTAATTAAAACAATAATTTGAAAAGTCAGTTAAAAGTCGTTAAACTCGTTAAAGTCTTGTACTGACATTGGCTGGAGCCTGGAGCAGGAAGTACTGACGACAGAGACCATGGCAGACAGGACCTGCTCATCCAGAAGAGGACTTCGACCACCAGAGGACTTCTCACCTGTTTCATTCAGAACCAGAAGAACCATGGTGACAAACACAGACAGCAGGAAGTCAGAATCTATCTCCAGTCAGCCAGTCTGCTCACCCTGCAGCGCCCCCTGAAGGGCCAGTGAAAACAGCCGTGGAAGGACGGTTACATGGAAGCATAGCCCCGTCTCCACCGTGTCTTCCACCTGCTCTGCTATCTTCTGGAGGCTGTGACAGGTGGAGACCACCTCCTCCACTGAGAAGCTGATGCTCCCTAAGAATCAGAGAAATTTTACTTAATCTATTTTTTATTTCTGTTGATTCAAACAATCACAACCCGCTGCAGTGACTTCCTCTGAACCAGCAGCTACAGAACACGGTTCACCTGTATGTGCTGAATTCAGAACCTCCAAGAGAACAGGCGTACTCTCCAAGACAATACTGGGCTGCACTGACACTGCAGCCAGAGCAGATAAACACCGCTGCCGCACTGCATGATGGGAATGCTGCCCAGAGGCTGCTCTGTTCTTGTCTTGATCCATAGGCTCTGAGCAAAATAGCATTAAAAATAAGCAAAAAATAAAGAGAAATGGACCAAAATGTGAAAAAACTCAAAACAATTAAAAAAGTTAAAGTTAACCAAACAAATAACTAAAAGATAACCTTAGCACCTCAGCTTAGAACCTCTATCAACGTAAAAAAGCAACAAAAGTATAACCTTAGCACCTCAGCTTAGAACCTGAAGAAATTTTAAAGGTAACCTTCCAAAAAGCAAAAATCCTTATCCTGACTTCCTTAATGTTAGACAAAATGGCTAAAATAGAAATCCAAACTTTATTTTTCTATCAACGTAAAAAAGCAACAAAAGCTAACTATTAGCCAAAGATAACCTCCGTTAGTTTTGCCAGATAGAGCTTCAACATTTCACTCACCAGAAAATAGTTCTGTTTTCAGCCGTGGGATGAGTTTGGAGATAAAAATGTCTGGATGCAGCTGAGCCAACGCTCTGGCTGATTCTACCACAGCCAGACTAGAAGACGGAGCAGGTTCATCAGGTTAAAACAACAGGCAGAGATTGGTCAACGTCAACAACAACAATAATGAAACTGACCTGACGCAGTCGTCATCTTCAATCAGCAGCAGTCTGATCAGGTGATCTACGGCCACGTCCACGTCAGAGTCCAGCAGCAGACCTGATGGAGGAGAGGACACGGGGTGATAACTGTGTCTTCAGTGTGATGTGAGAGTCAGAGGTGTTCTGTCTCACCTGTCTGCTGGGCCAGTGAGGTGAGCATGGAGGTGGCGGTGATCTGCAGACTGGAGTTATTCTCTGACAGAGCTGAGAACACCGTGCTACACAGAGACTCTCGCATGCTGACAAACACGCTCTCATCTAAAGTGAGAAGAAAGAAAAGCAAACAGATAATGTTGGAGTCAAGGATCAGTGTGAAGGAGCGAGTGTAAAAATGACATCAGCACTGACCGTTATCAGGAGACTGACTGGTTTTAACTGACTGGAGGAACCGCAGCATCACCTCCAGTAACGTCCGTCTCTGGGAACACTGGACCAGAAAAACAACAACAGGAGATAAACTGTAATGTTAAGTAAAGGTTCATACTATTTCAGCCACATCAGAGTGAAGATGATCGTACCTGTGTTCTGTTACTGTACTGTTCAATAAGTGAAGGCATGGCTGCTGATGTAACGATGTGACTCGCCCTGATGGAGGCGCTGCAGGCAGCCTGCAGCAGTTTAGCACTGGGCCACACCAGCTTCAGGTCAGGCTCAGACAGGTGATGTTTGCAGTCTGGAACAATGTCACAAGAAGACACACACAAGCAGAAAAACACATGGACAGAGACACACACACAGAAGCACAGACAGTTAAAAATAAAACACAGCAGAAACCAAATAAATTAAACTATAATTAATTAAGTTAAATGAAATTATATGACAGGTTTCGAGCTTCCACCTCTGAGAACCAGGTCCAGGAAGCTGCTCAGAACGTCTTCAGACTCTGAGCTGAGGACAGAGGAAGACACACAGGAAGTGAGTGCGGTGAGAGCAGCCAGACCAGCAGACTCGATCTTCTCACTGGATGTCTGAAAGACCTGCATTCAAACCAGGAGAGAAATCAGGTTCCTCAAAGATCAATCAGCGCATTTTTATAAAAGATCGGATTTTACTGAAATTAATTAATTTGATGTGTTTTTAGCTGCAAAAAACACAAGGAAATCTCATAATAACAAAATCCTAATATTCATCTTAAGAAACAGCATTTGATGATCACGACCACAACAAACCTCTCTGCGTAGTGATGTCCACAGACCATCCAGATATTCTGCCAAGTCTTTATGTTCGTAGTGTGTTACACAGGCAGCCTGCAAATGACAAAACTGTCAGTTTTCTGCTACACTCTGCTTTACATTCATACACCTTCTTCTGAGTTAAAAGAAAAAAGGTCTCACCAGAGTCTGCAGAGAGTCCAGCTTGGCACTCTGAACGTCTGAGTCTATCTTCTCGATGAGGAGAGGCAACAGGAACTGAGAACAATGATCAAAAACACGTCTCCATTAAAACTTGCAGGATGTCAAATGTTGACACACGTTACTAAAGAAAAAGACAGAAATAGATTTTTTTTTTTTTGTACCTCGGCGAACTTAGGAGTCCCGGTGAGAACGGCCCTCAGCGCCTCAATCAGCTCCTCTTTGGTGATGCGGTGGGGGTCGTTAGGAGGCTGCAGTGAGAAGAAGAGAGGAAGATGATCTATAAACAGCTAAACATTAGCAAATAAATGATGTCAAGGAAAAACAATACAATACAAAGTAGTATGGGTTAGCTCAGACATAGCTACAGTTTAAGTGATGCAAAAAATACAAAATTAAAATTCTGGAAGAGTGCCTGCATCTGCTCCAGTAAACAAAACAAAACAACAAAAACACGTGTTTTTGTCACATAAGGTTTGTAAATTTGTAAGTGAAAGATAAAAGCTAATCACAGAGACAGCATTGGCTCTGACGTCACTGACAGAAAACATGTGTGAAAAGATGAGGGGGCATCATCCTCATAATTGTTTTCAACGTGGTTCGTCTGTGGTCACAGGAAGTCAGTGATGACATTTCGGTCTGTGTTTCTCTCTGCTTTCATCAGCACTAGAACCACAGCAGCAGCTGAACAAACACACTGACTTACGGGGGTAAAGTCGATGGGGAAATAGCAGCCTGTCACCTCAAACAGCTCCTCTGTGAATTTACCTGTGACACAAAACAGGAAGTGCAAACAATACGATTTAGTAGTTCCAACAAATTAGAAATGTTTTTTTTTTAAAGTTGCCAAAGGCCTTACCCAGATCATAACCTCTGTAGATGATGTTCTTTGCAATCTGAAAGGCCAGCAGCAGGTTACGAGGATCTCTCTCACCATCCATGGACTGAACGAAGCCAAAGACAAAGTCTGAGCCTAAACCTTTTAACTCTGTGGATCAGACATACAGGAAATTAATTTCACTTGAATAAAAAATGAAGGCCTTTTCCAAGATAATCAGAAATGATTGCTGTTGAACAGACACAGCAAAAAGGACATGTGAACATGAGGCAATGTTCTGAGAGGTTAGCTTCAGGATAATACAAGTACAAATTTGTAGAAAAAAAATCAGAAAATACTTCAGTGGTTCTAGGGCTCTTACCAGCTTCTCTGGTCTCCATCAGATTGATGAGCATGTTATAGACACATGATCTCTCTGCCAGCATCAGAGACTAAAAAAAAAAGGAAATAGTTCATTACATTTTATAAAAAGATTTCTTAAAATCTTACGTATATATGTGTTGTATTTTAGCCCAACGCTAACTCTCACCTGCACGTGAACATCCTGGAACAGGGACCTCAGCATGGACACAGCTGAACCAGGAGGCAGCATCTTACATTTACTCTGTAAAACAACATAGATATTAGTTATGTTATGAACTTCTATAAATAAAATATATGAAGGACACAGATAACACAGGGGGCGAGGTAGGCGCTGACCAGTGCTCCGAGCCCCTGTAGGACTGACGAGGTGACGACATAATGGTCCTTCAGTCTGTTCTCATAAAAAGCTATAAGAACTTCCACTGTGGAGAAGGGGAACAGAAGAACGGGCAAAGCAACTGTGACTCACTGACAAAGAGAGGAAACGTTGACAACAATTGACCACAGAGCCATAACAGCAACACTCTGTACCTTCTCTCTCTGTGAGGTTACCATGACATCTGTTCAAAACCTCAGACAGCAGCTGGATTCCTCTGGCTCGAGTTTGAGGCTGAGAGCTGGTCAAACTCTCTCTGTAGTGGAATGAAAAAAAACACACCACGTTATCACCTAAACGTGCTACAGGGAGCGCCAGCTTTTTGATTGTTCATAGTGACACTTTCATTGAGCAATAAGTAAATAATCACAAAGAAAAGTAGTTAGGTAGTGGGATCATATGCATTCTTGCGTGGAAGATGGAGCTATTTGTTTTATTATGATAGGCTCAACCTTACTCTAGTGCTTCCACCAACTGCAGAATGGCGAACTTTCCCTCTGTGACACCTGAAAATTAGATAAAAAGTATAAATATGTAAACTTCAGAAATTTCGACTAGTAGCCGACAATTTGACCCTGAACCTGAAGTTCAAATGTCCAGAGTTCAGCGACATGCGTTCACGTACACAAACGCAGCAGCGATCAAGCTGCTAGCTAAATGAGACTACAGCCCAGTGACGTGACAGCACAACACAAAAAACAGTATGCCTAATTAGTAGAATGGCACAGTAAGTTATATTAAATTGAAGTCTGTCATTAGGTGGCAGCACTACACAGGATGTTGTTGCGCCCTGTTAGCTAGTCGCAGCATCATGCCGCTACGCTAGAAACTGTGCAGCTATGAACGTTTAAGTTACTCTGAGTTTATCTAAAAAATGTACGAGCGACACCTATTTAAACGCAAACTTTAAATTACCCGTAGCTACTTCTTTGGCTTTATTGTCCTGTAATCCAGAGACAAACTCTTCCACCAAAGACGGCAGCAAAGAAGTGTCCGCAGCCATCGTGCTTCTGTCACTTTGGCGATACTGCGCAGGCGCGGAAGTTTAAAACGAGTGTCAAAACGTATGGGTTTTTTGGTTTCAGCAAAACAATAAATGTTACTGATTAACCTAGTTTAACGTGCAATTAAAGTTTATTATGATATTTTATGATCTTTGGAATGTCTTTTGCCTTTAATATGAAATGTAATACTGCAACTTTTCGATGATGCCTTTAGGTGCTCTCCTATGGAGTTGGTGGCATTTTCACGTCTGTTCTATTCCCCCTTTTCTTTTCTTCTCTTCTCTTTTCTTCTCTTTTCTTTTCTTCTCCTTTCTTATAAATAATGTGATATAATACGAGTACTGAAGAGCCGCGTTCTTCACCTTCAAAAAACATCATTTTGCCTATTATGACGAAGACAGGATTCTGAAGTGACAGATAGAGGTTATGTTAAGACTTTTATTTATTTTTATTTGGGTTATTTTCCTACAGTATTAAGATGTATATATACATTTTGTGAGGAAACTTCTGACCTTGAACTTTCTACTTTTTTTCATCAGAAATAGACATCTCTTTATTTGCTTTGGTTTATGTGACGCTTTCCTCTGGGTGTATGTGAACGTCGCAACGTCGTGTTCCCAACAGCGCACGCGTCTAAAAGTTCTGTAGTGTTTCTGCCGCTGTTGAAGAAGAAGAAGCAGCAGCTCGGCAGATAGACTCGTCTCCATAGCAGAGGGGGAAGTAACGTTTTAGGGGATTTAAAAAACGAAACCCGGGTACGACGTTTGTGAGCTAATGCTGTACACGGAGAAGGACGTACAGCAAAGTTTAACTACACTTAGAACACCCAAGGAAGAGTGAGCGTTGAGGAAAAATGGGTTTGCTGGTGTTGTTTTAGTAGCTTTAGCTGACTGGCCCTGTTAGCCTGTTAGCGAGGACGGAATGTAGGAAGGAAATTGTTGGTGGACAAGTGTCTAGACAAGTTGTATAATAATACATCTCTGTGAGAGTTATAACGTCATAAAGTTTTGCAAAGTTCTTGCTCTTGACAGTTTAAAAAAATATATTTTCCAAGAGCTCTTAGTCTTCTGGAGTCGTTAACGAGCATCCAGTCACGTCCCGCAGGTCTAGATCACAATTCGATCTCTAGTGTTCATTGAGTTACGGATGACATATAGAGCCCTCGAGCCACTCTGTCTTATTTTTTCGTCCGTGATGATTATAGTCATGATGATGATGGAGCCTTTGTGGGGCTGCTGAGACTTTTTGATCCGTTCTGAGGAGTCAGACCATGGGAGGATGTGTGGGAAGATATTGGGAGGGCTGGGATGACTCGCAGAGCCGAGGATCATCCAGGAACGGTGGACGAGGAGGTAAGATCTCCATCTCCCTAAGACGTATCAGAGTAGTTATACTAAAGCGTGAATAGTGCTTTTCGTGAAAAATGCTTTAATACATTATTTACACTTCACACATTAACTTCTGACCTCATTGTCAGTGGAATAAACCACAAAATGTTTCTTTCTACACGTTTTTATGTTTGCAAATATCTGGAGTTCAGTCATAGTTCAGTCGTGGTTTCTTTTAAATGAGTGATTGGCAATATACAATAATAATAAGAATGATATATACAGTATATATATTATTTTATTTCAGGTGTAGTTTAGAACTAAAATTTTACTTAAACGTTAGAAATTACATAAAATAAGTATCTAATTATACTTTATTGAACCAATCTAAGTTTAAAATGGTGTGCTCTTCCGCTGCTCTCTGCCTGTAGGTGTCTGTTAGCTATTAACAATTAACTATTGGAATACCAGTAAAATGGAGATTTTTTTCTAAAATAAAACTTGAATCCCTATGTTGCATATTACATGTGCAAACATGGTTTCAACCAACTGTGTTTGGATGTGGTCCACTCCGGCATATCAAGTGACCTCTTGTGCTTAGGTTTCAAGGAAGGTTCCTCCTTCCTTGCTATTGTTTTGTTTCTTTGTGGAAACTGGACAACTCTACACCCAAAGTCACACAGCTGAGGAAAACAACTGTTTTATACATCATTATTCAAAGAATGTCTCTCACAGTAAGGGATATAAAGTGAAGTGTGACATAAAAACATATATAATATAATGACACCTGACTAATGCATTCTATCTAACATAATTTTTGAAATCCTGATGATAGATCATGCAGATTAGACCTCGTTTCGTGACATATTGTTTGCAGTGGTGATCATACCCTGCCCTCACCTGAATGACTGATAGGATTGGTTCAAGCTCCTTGAAAACCCTGAAAAAGATTAAATGATGGAAGGTGAATGGATAAATGAACCTTGTGAGGAGAAGAACTCCTCTGCCTACTTCATTGTCACCTACTGTCAGTTCATTGAGGCTAAACACTATTTAGACACTGCTCTGGTCAACCGACATTACACCTGTAACAAGGCTAGTAATTTTCTTGCCCAACAATTTAAAGCTTTACATCCAGTCCCACAACAGTGAGTGTCCTGTGTCTGCTGCTGGTGACAAAGTAGATCTGGGGAAAAGTTATTTGGAACAGTTAGCAACATTGAGGGATATAACTGTGACCCTTAAAGCAGACTAGGTTCAGGTCTAGGCTGAACCCCTTTAATGCATAGTCAAACTTAAAATACCGTCTCAATGTCTAGCAAGTGTTTGTGGAGGTTCAACCTCAGGTCAGTGGCCAAGCTCGTGTCAGACTAGTAAAATCCACCAACTCTATGAAGATCCGTTTTGGGTTTTTCTCTTGCATATTATACTTGATTTATTGTTGATTTATCTCCAATAATCATGACTAAATGTGATTGTTCCACAGCTATGCTTGATTAACAGAGTTAAAATCTGTTGTTTTAAAGACTTATTTTTACATGTTTTGATTGTGATACATGACTGGAGTAAATGTTTTATTTACAACTAGACTAAACTAAGTGATGCAGGCGCCGGACAGATGAATCGTCTCATGGCGTGATAGCAACATCAGTGATCTTCAGCATCTTCATGACATAATGGCAAAACACTAAATCATCAATGTTTTTGTTTTAGTTCCAGTATTTCCATAGCTGTGGAGCTGTGTTTACAGAGACTGTCAGAGGATATTAGTGTCTGTTATTCATTAGGATGCAGAATTCTTTTAGCCCTCTCCCTTACTAATTCAAAATTTGTCTTCGTGTTGACCACAACAACACTAGATTTTTCAGTAATGATTAATAGGAGGAGAACAGGGAGACATTTTAACCCATATCCAATTGGAAGAAGCATCCTGTATTTACTGCTCCTTTAAAGTATTTTCTTTTTTTTTTTTGTTTCTTGCCAATGTGATGAACAGCCTATTCAAAATCAAAGCCCTCACAGCTGAGATTTCTTTGAGTGTGGTGGTGACTCATGATAATATCCTTTCCTGATGGCTATCATTTGACACTTCCTGTGACACTAGAGTCTGATCAAAAAGAACAAGTCCCATCGTGTTCTGCTGCGTCATTCGCCGGCTATTTTAACAGGACTGAACCCTCTCAGAAATCCCTTAATAGAGAACCGTGTGAAAAGGAAAAGGTCAAGTACAATAGAACACAGCAGCTGTAGTGGCTATAATAATTACTGTCTGGGAGGTGGGTGAAAAACTACAGGAAGAATAAAAAATGGGCTTCTGAAGCTTCTGTTAAAAAATGAAAAAAACTCCTTGAAGAGAGAGCAGGTTATTTTAGACACAGACTATTACGTTAATACAATGGATTTCTGTAATACTATGTTTTGGTGGTCACACTAGCTGGTTCTTACTGTGATCCAGAGAACAGATTAATCATCTCTTGTTATACAACAGCAGTAGCTGCACTTTAAACATATCAGAAGAAAAAAACTTCCAGGAAGTAAGAAAAGGAACCAACAAGTTCTTGTCATTGTCTGCATGTGTTTGCTAAGACAGTCTGCTGGCGTTACCCCAAGATCCACTTTATTTGTAGCCCAGCTTTAGCTTCCTGATTGTTGTTTTGTGTTGGTACATGCTACAACTAAATAGTCTATCTGAACTGGCGAATTTGAAACCAACATCGTCTGTCTTCAGTCCTTCAGTTTTACTGGATTTTTGTCAGGTCAAAGTATTTCTTCGATCATAGTCATTTGCTAACATGCAAAACTCTATCAGGAACTTTTATTAGCAAACAGGTAATGTAAATTTGTCTTGTTGAAAAGAAAATATTTCCTTTTGGAAAACGCTGTGTCGTCAGGGTAATGAATTTAAATTTAAAAACATAGACGGACCCTAATGGTCATGGCTGACCTGTTTGTTTCTGTTCTGACGTACCCCACCAAAAAATTCCTCCCTGTGAACTTTGTGCCTCGTTTGTGACTCATCTCCTCAACGTTCATAAATATGACACACTCTAATGGCACCTGTTCATAACATTGTCCCTGGTCTTTGTTTTGTTCTACTTAGAGTTTATAGAAAAGTAATTAATCACCTCCTTATGATTATTATTATCATTATTCTGCAGAGCATCAGGCTCAAAGTTAGTTAGATATTGATAAGAGCTAAGAGAGTCCAAAAACAATGGGGGAATTCTGTTTTTCTTTTCACGTTTGCTGGTGTTGATACTGCAGCTTGTCGGCTCTGTGAAGAATATCCTTGATAGATATCTGAGAAGGTGTCGGGGAGAGATAAAGAGCCAGAGTCAGATCTGTCACACGTCAGGAGGAGACAATAAAACTCAAGCAGGTCGCAGTGTTGTTCACAACAGTGTGCCATGTTAACAGTATTATTTAACAGAACTGTTTCTGAGAAAGCAGCTCTCTCACCATTGAAAATGTGTACTATATGGGTTTATTATCATCTGCATCATTTGGATTTGTAAACTTTACTTTGTAAATCCCAAAGCGAGAGCCAAGAAAGATAATGGCGACATTGTTGCCCCTAGATAAAAAAATTTCTGCTTGCAGCTGAACCGAGAACAAATACTTGTGAAAGAATACTTGACATAGTTTTCCAGCACTTTTCCCCTGTGACTTCTGGGTTAGTTGTTTCATTTGGGATTCACGCTGCTCCCAAGTGCTAATCCTATAGCAGGCCCCGTCCTCCTATATTACTCTGCCTGAGACGCCTGCACTATAAATAATTTGTTGGAAAGAAAGGAACCCTCTTGGATGTGGCAGCGTCTCCTTCAAGCTCGTCTCCATTTCCTGTCACTCCTCTCCTCAGCTCCTCTGCCCTGCAGACAATTTGCAAATAAGCTGAGGCTTGTTTCATACCTGACTCAAGAAGCTGCAGAAAGAAGCTGCCTTTTTTGGGAATAGTTAGTTTCGAAACAGGCCTCACTCATTAGTAGATTTATATAGACGTGTGTGGCCCTCTACCTAAATTAGCACTCTAGTGTCTTAGGAGGCTGTACCTTTACACTAATGGTGGGAAGTAAAGGTAAGGTTACATAGATGTTACTTTAGCCTAACATGCTTCATGCATTTTGCAAACTCTGAATGACCTCCTAATTTTAGATGGGGATGACACTGTAGGGTGGGGTGTGATGTTCGCTGTCTCTGGTGACAGCTAGCATTTCTTTCTCTGCTGGCAGCTCTGTTTATCGCTACTGGGAGATGAAAGCGCCGGAAACTGCGTTGTGTCATGCGTGAATCAATCTGTCTCTCGTCTGCATTCTGTGGATTACATCTAAATGTTTGAGGTTCATCTAGATCCTTTCATTCCAGCCCATTTTGCTGGTTGTAAGCAGAGTAGAAATTGTACACGACACCATTCCAGATATGTTTTTTATATTTAGGACAGCAGAAGAAATGTTGGGTGAGGTCAGTGATTAGCTGTGGCTAGAGGTCCAATGGCCTAGTTCTATATTTATTTGCATTTAAATGTGACTGATTAGAACTATTGGTGTCACTGGAAACAGATAAAAAAAACAACAACAAAAAAAACTCTAGCACAACACAAATGTGGGGTTCTAGAGACCTTTTAATAACAGATGTTTCTATCACAGGACGGAATGAACCTCTAAAGAAGGATCGCCCCAAGTGGAAGAGCGACTACCCGATGACAGAGGGCCAGCTGCGGAGCAAAAGGGACGAATTCTGGGACACGGCCCCAGCCTTCGAGGGTCGTAAAGAGATCTGGGACGCTCTGAAAGCTGCTGCTGTAGCACTGGAGTGCAATGACCATGAGCTGGCCCAGGCTATAGTGGACGGAGCCAGTATCACACTGCCTCATGGTGAGCACTGAGAAAAAAAAATACTGTGCACAAAATCTCATGCTGCTGACATAAGGTACCAAATAGTTCTCTTTTTCCCTTACCTCCATATTCCAGGTACTCTTGCCGAGTGTTACGATGAACTTGGTAACCGCTACCAACTGCCTGTCTACTGTTTGGCTCCACCTGTCAACCTCATCTCAGAACGTGGCGATGATGATCCCAACGACAGCCCAGAACCTCCTGTAGCACCTAAGAAAGAGTTCCAGCTCAAGGTACTAGTGGTTCCTACGTCAGAGAGAAATACTTCCAGGTGTTTTTTTTTTTTTTTTTTTAGGAATAAGGTTTTGACGCAAACCTCTCTGGTACAGACTACACCAGACCTGCATTAGACACACTTCTTTAGAACGTAAAGACCCCAACATTAATGTTCATAATTTACAAGCCACACATGCTACGAGCTTGAGTTCAAATCTGAGTTTCTCCCCTTTTTTTGTTGTGTGTGTACTCATTTGACGAACAAGTTCAAACTTGTCCTCCGCAGGTACGATTGTCCTCAGGTAAGGACATACGTCTCAGTGCCAGCATGGCCGACTCCATAGGTCAGCTGAAGAAGCAACTACAGGCCCAGGAGGACATTGATGCCACCCACCAGCGCTGGTTCTTCTCTGGGAAGCTGCTGCCAGACAAAACCCGGCTGCAGGACACTAAGATCCAGAAGGACTTTGTTATCCAGGTCATTGTCAACCCTCAGGCTCTACAAGCCCACAAGACCCCGCCCACTTTGTCTGAATAGCTGAGGAGAAGTCGTTCAACTGCAAGGATGGTGTGAGGGTGACGGACATTACAACAAAGACCACAGTGCCTGTTAAAGTGGCAGTCCAGATTTTCTGGTGTTTGTTTGTTTGAGGTACGAACAAAGTTCAGGAACCAGCCCAAAGCCGTGTCCCACTTTATGGGCTGTAGCCAGTGCTGTATGTTTGAACTGAGGCAAAGAAAAACTGAATTGTCAGTTTCAGAACGTGTTTTTGTTCTGGATTTAAACTGACTTTTGCTGAACTAAATAGAAAAAAAACCTCTTAGCTTGTGGTGACACAACGGCTGCCTTATCTACAGATTACTCGATAAATGCGTTTAATTCACTTAGATGGATAAACACAACATAATTTAAACAAAGAAGTCACTAACTAACGCTCTACTGACTTTTGAATGAAAGAGTGAGTTTTACCCAAGGAGACACGAATGTCGAAAAAGGCTTTAGGGCCTTAAAAGTTAAAACTTTAACAATAGATAAGATATTGTTAAAGCCTTCTGCAGTTTAACTAGTTTGTCACCTGATATGGTGAATTTGTGATGTTTTCAACACTACACCTAACGTCCCAACACGTACAGGACGTTACCAATAACATGTCAGTACCTCATATAAGCACCATTCAAAATATCAGAACGATCCCTTTAATGCTGGATGAATGCTGGAGGTACAGGGAGAACTACAGTAGGAGAGGGAGAAACTCTAGAGTGCTGCTTTCTTTAATTGTATCCCTGGTCGTTGTAGTTTTTGAGAGAATCCAATCAGCACACTAACAACCTGTGGAGACCCTGTCCCTCCACACAGTGTTTTTGTCACTTTGAACTATTTAACATGAAAGCAGAACTTGTGCTAACGAGCAGCCTTTCACTCTTGGACTCTGTCCGGCCTCGGCTGTCTTTTCTCTGCTCACACGGTGACTATGTGCCAACGGAAGAAACGCAGTAAAAAAGGAGCACATTTCTACTTTGGACAAACACGTTCTCTTCCATAGACACAGGAGGTGGGAGGAGAAAGCAATGAGGGAGAAGACGAGCCCTGACTTTACTGGTTACCCCTGAATTTTGTTTCTTTTACTGAGGAAATATTGTCAATTGAGCTTTTTTGCACATTTTGAAGATTATTTCTTTGCTTTATTGTGGTTGTTGTGTGCCTTCTACACAGTGAAACACAAAGGTGTTGGTCAGTGTCCCGGCACGTGTTAGTTTTACCACTAAGCTAAGCCCTAAGAAGTGTTTTAGTCAGGAAGTCTTGGATCGACCTGAGCTGTAACTATTGCCTTCTTTTGTAATTTTTCCTAAGAAAAAAAACATCAGTGTGTGTTTTTGCTAAAGTTATAAGTACCCCCATGATACCTCTCAGTTTTACCAGTCTCACTAACAGCACCGTCCATTTCATGTTGTCAAGGTGAGACTAACTCTTCCAGACCACCAGAGGGAGCTATAATTAATTATTGTCCCAGTGTTTCAGGCCTCCCAATGAAAGATTAAATGAAATTTGTTTTTGTCTTTTTCAGTGGAACATTTGAAAGAAACGAGGACTGTGATGGATTTTCATAAACCGTTAATTTTGTCTTAGAACTTTTAGACTTAACTTTATACCAGTACCTGATGGGAGTATGGGTTCCTGACCGTCCATTTGAGAACCATTGCTTTAAATTACTTGTCACGTCTGCACACGATGTGTGAAAATCCACACCAGCGTTAAAGTATCAGCTGCATTTTTTTAAATACATAAGAAAGAATGAGATACATGGAGTAATAAGTTAAAAGTATGTATAACAACGTTTCAGTTCCATTATTTTGCTCTGTTGGTTTTCGTATCTTCAGTCGTTAAATTAATTTCGAACCCGTCTCTGTAGGAGCAGCAGGAAAATCCCAGCCAGCATTTTTAAGTCTCTCCTTCTTCCTGCATACTTAGCCCCACATCCCCCCACTGGGAGAAGGATGATACAGAAAGAACCCTGCTCCTCTCATTGTTTCTAAAGCCTTCAATTTCCTCCCACAGCCTCCAGTGATGACTTTAAAAACAAAGATGTCAGAATCTACCAGTCTGTACCGTAGACTACATGTAAGAAATGAGGTGAATTCATTACTTGTCATTGTGACACAACTGACAACAAAATGTGACATCTGCTTTTAACCCATCACCAAAGGTAGCAGGGTGTGGGGACAGTGCCATGTCAGTGCACCTCAGTGGTAACTAGGCAGCTGATGGACCCAAGTCCACTTCATTAACTACCAAGCCACCACTGCTTGGACAGATCCAGCTGGTGAGGAGAGAAAGGCTTTAACTTATAAAGCATGAAAACACTTTCCATAAAGTAGTTTATGGTCTTATTTTCAGAGTGCTTTTGGGCTGTCTTGTTTTAATTCCAACCTTTATGTTGTGTTTTTCTCTAAATTGGAATGAAGCTGAAGATTATGTGAAAGTTCCAGTTCAGGACATAAACTCTTGATGACAGCTCTGTCTTAAATCAAAGTTAACTATCTCACCAGAGATCAACTGGTCATGTCTTTCAACATCTGTTGCTTGAAAACTATCACAGATTTAACCACAGCTGTTTGGTTTTATTCACTTCCAATCTGTTCCTTCCAATCTTTTCATTTTTCAGTTTCGCAGTGTGACATAATTCCCTTTACTCCCTGTTATCTTACCTGCTGATCCAAACCCGGACAAGCACATTTCTCTGTACAGTACATGCAGTACCTTCAGCCTACAGCTGACCTCTGTGACTCTAAAGATATAACTAGTGCAGGTACAAACTGTGGTTCATGTGTTTGTCTCTGTTATTTATCATCTTGGCCCTCTTACAGACTTTCATTTGTTCCCACATTTACGTATAAATATCCATCTCCAGATAAGTTCCTTAAAGGCCTTCTGATCGCCTTTTTGAACATATAACACGTTAACGTTATAAAAGCTTCAGGAGAAATGGATGAAGTCATTCAATTGCAAAACAACTTCATGTTAGGAGTCTAACAGCAAAGTCTGCATGTAGCCGCGTTACTGTTAGTCACACACAGCGTCCAATAATTTGCAAAAAGAAATTCTGATCAATGTGACAGGCCAGAAACTAGAGATCAAGACTGTTGACTCTTCTCAGAATTGTTTATTTACAACTTTAAAACCAGTCATAAAAAGCCACATTTTCTCTGAATTCCCTTCTGTCGAACAAAGTGAGCCACTTTTGCAACCTGTTGGCCGCATCTATTTCTTACACACAGCCCACAAAACTCTCATTTTGCACTGTAGCAAAGCCAACCTCTCTCCTACCAGCAAGTGTATAAAGAACGTCATAAGTAACTTATAGAAGCTACAACTGAGTGTCGTTCCAGGATGAATGTGCCGTTTCTCCAACTTGATATTTTTCTAACTGAAGCTTTAGTTTTATTTTTTTCTCAACCTATACCACAATGACAAATGTAGCAAATGAGTTTGTTAGCAAATTATTATTTTTTTTAAATTATTGATATAGATGTCCCTTCCTTTTTAGCACACTAGACAGTAGTGAATGGATGTTATTGTTATTAATACAATTCAATATGATGTATAAACATAACAAAAAGAATATTGCAGTAGCCATCAAAGGAGTGGCAGAGTTTTTAATAAAAAAAAAATTCACAAATATGATTGAATCACACCAATAAAAGACAGTAGAAATATTTTTCTTTTAAATCCTTCAGACAAGATATGACGGTCAATAAAATGTTCCAGAAGTCATTACATTGAGATTGTTGCTGTCTCAAACAAAAACAATATTTTTCTATTTTATTCTTTCTATATCACAGAGTATTTGTTGTAATAAAAGAATCTGTATATTTACTTAAATAAACAATTTAGTTGTCTTATGGTTGTTTCTTGATGATACTTGACACAGATTATTTTACCATGTGTTAATTTATCTGCTGGTCACCTTTAAAAATGTTTAAAAATTGTTAAATTAAAATAAACTCTTGCTAAAAGATGTAGTAGTTAATGCATTTTTTAAAAAAAAACATTTTTGTCCATTTTTTTGTCCTCGATTGTACGGAGCCCCTTAAAGGACATGGGAAAAAACGTTTCTGGTGCTCATCTGTAAGGTTATTGTGAGCATCAGAAACTTTGTACTATTGAGTCAGAAAAGGCAAAATAAATAATAAATGAATAAAATTATCACGGTGAGTTTTCAGACGCCTGGATAGAGATCTTAGAGGAGACGAGGTTCGGCCAAAATGTTGTTTATTTATTAAAAAAAGTAAAATTCTGATTAAATTGCTGCTTAATTCCATCTGTAATTGTTTTATAAAAAAAAAAACTACACGCAGACATAAAATTCATCTTACATATAAGTAAAAAATAGTTATATATACGTTATATATTATAGTTATATATAGATAGAAATAAATAAAAAATAAACGTTTCCGATACTCACCTTTAAGTTTCAGGTGAGTATGTCAAACTTTCAGCTACGCAAGCCAGACAGTTCTGCAAGCACTCGTACAGTTGAATCAGATATGAAAAAAAAAAAAAAAAACGTAACCAAACTCATGTAACTGTATTGACGCAGTTTTACCACTAGAGGGTACTGTGCTCCTGTGCAATTATCAGGGTGAGTTTTCAGACACCTGGATAGAGAACTGAACGTACTTGGAGAATTGACAAGGTACGGCCAAAATTTTATTTATTTAAAGTAATTTTCATTATAATTAAAAATGTAATTTTAGAAATGTGTATATATTTTTTAAAACTAGCCGCATATAATTCATATTAAATATAGGAAAAAGTTAGTTCTAGAAAGCTAGTAACGCTAATGTTAGCCATGTAAAAATACATTAAATAGAAAATTACATTAACAAATAACATTTAGTTTAATTTATATAAAAAAAATTAGCTCAAAGTGTTGCTAATCTGGCCGTAATTTAGCTCAAAGTAAAAAAAAAAAACAATGTAACTACATTCAGACAAACAGTTATCTTTATAAAATCTAAGCTAAAGCTAAATCAAGGTATTTCTACATGCCGTTCTTAGTATTGTTATTATAGTGTACATAATCGGTCTCATAAATCACGTGAGGGAGACAGGGCTTCCTAAGAAAAAAGAACTTGATTTTGCTTCTCCTTTAGGGCCTGGAAAAAGCCCCTATTGACGGTGCAGTTTCACAATGTGTGTTTCACACAGTTTGCGGTCGCTCTCCCACGTGTAGCCTCCTCAACAACTCCTCTTTCCAACCTCCCTTCTGTAGCAATGGTCCCAGGGTGACCCTGACGCCACAGGCAGAGACTCCGGGGGCTTTAACTATAGAGGCTCTTGTCTCTGGGGGTCATAACAATGTCCCAGCCGGGCTTGTAATTTCATTTCACTCTGGATTTCACTCAATCTGGTTTATGAAAATCATAGATTTGGGCTTGACTTTCCTGTTTGCTTTTTTCCCTCTGTTTTCCCTCTTTGTGCAGTGGATGTCATGAAGTTTTAATTCTAATCCTCCCAAAAGATCTGCAAAGTCCTTCACTGAAATGTTTCATATTACTTACAAACACGGTACGTGCAGTGTATAGTTACACACCAACTTTAAAGCATGAGGACAGATGTTTTTCATTTATTAGCTATGGTTGTTTATTATCCATATGCTAACAATAATTTGGGATGTTGTTAGTTAGCTTCTAGGGATTCTCTACACGGTGGTGTCTCCTTCAGAAGCTGCTCTTGTTGAATTGCACTTGTATTGATATTTTGAACCAGTATGAAGCATAAAGGTGTGCAAAACATAATTATATACAAAAGCTAAACCTATGTGCTCTTACTAATCCCACAATAACTATTGCTTGTGATAGTTGTGTGAATTTAGCTTTACCCAAGCTAACTTGTCTTCCACTCCAATTGCTTTTGATGGTTAGCTGAGGCACTGTGTTTGTAACCGTCTGGACATTTGTGATTAACCCTATAACCAGATACATACTCCGTTTTCTCCCACTGCGATGTAGTCTTTCAGGTCATGTGGTGACACAGGTCATGGTTACAGTTTACTGTAGACAGTACTACTGTAGCTGACTCACATACACACTACAGCATTAGGCCAGGTTTAGGTGAGCATCAGGTGAACATTAGGTAAGTGGATGGAGTCTGAGGATTACAATCCTCTAACGCTGGCGCTGAGAGGATTTTCCCTTTACTCATCTCCTATTCTGGAGAAAAGTCTGCTTTGCATAACAGTGTTCTATATTTATCACCCAAGAAAAGTCCTGATTACTCATGGATGACCCCCAGTTCCTGTAACTTAGTGCAACAGATTAGTGAACGGTCACTGACATAAACAACAACAACTCTCCAGTGAAGCTTAGCATCACTTACAGTAGACAAATGTCGCAGATAGGTCAGTCAAACCTGGACAAATGTATGGAAATATACATACAAACACAAACATGCTGCAGGTGCACGGCTGCACTGGAACCCTAGATCCGGTGCAACCATCTCCCCACGGCCCAGCAGCCAGTCAGGAGGCTGTGTTGAAGCTCAGGTGTAATTGTTGGTTTACCGCTGAGCTTTTACTGTAGCAGGTTGTAGCTTAGAAGAATCTCCCTCAGGCCTCAGGGGTATTTGAGGTAGTTATAAGATATTTTCCCATGGTGGAGAAAAATGGAAAGGTCAGTCTGGAGAACTGTTACAGAACTGATATTTGACTGTAGGAATAAGTACTGCTAATTTTGACCAAAAATAGCACATCACCTCAAAATTAACTCCTTAAACAAGAAGAAAATATTTTATAAGAGTTATAAATGTTTATCTTTATTTTTCCTTTTTTATTCTGTTTTCTGTTGTTTAGCTAAAATTTGGCTATTTTGAGGTTGTCTATTGTGTACGAAAATGATAACAGTCAGTCAATAGTTTTTCTCACCCCTTGTCTATAGCCTGTCTAGCGTTTCTTATGGCTAACATTTATTTATACATCTGTAGTTCATTTTCAGCCTTATTTTACTACACAATTGGCTAATTTTCTAAACTTCTTTTAAATTTTAAATTTTTAAAAAAATTTTTTTGGTCTGTCTTTAAGTTTATGGAACATTGTGACACCATTTTACTAACTTTATTTTACGTAACTAACTTACGTAAATATTTTGGGGCTAACATAATGTATGGAAGTTTTCCTTTTTTGGCTCTCTTTCTCTTCCAGCATTTAACTAATGTTTTGTGGTAAATTTACTTTGCAACTTTTGGATCTTTCTTTCTCTTTCAACCTCCAGCTACCGGTTTACAATAACTTTTGCTAACTTTGAGCTAAGAGTTAGTCTTGCCTCCATTTTACAGTCGTTTTAGAGATTTCACTATAAATTCCTAAACAACTTTCAGTAGTGTGTCATTCTGGGTGTGTTGCTGAATGTTTTTTTCATCCAGATTTTGCCATAGCTATCTCAATCCTTTCTCCAGACTTTACCCTGGCATTATAAAAATCAACCATAAAAATAACAGGCCAATATTCCACGGGTATTTTGCCTTTTAGCCTCTGTTAATTTCAGACTCTGCCCTGTAATCATATGCTTGGACAAAAAATGTTTTTAAAAATTGACGTCACTCGATAAACTTACCATAAAAGTTCTAGGAATCTGCTCCAAATAAACCACACAGTATGACGTCAAGTATGTTCACAAAAAACTTTGATTTATCCTTCTGTACTTTTAACTTTTATTCCTATGTACTTTATGCTCAGTCTTTCATTATCAGTGCAAAGCTTTCAGAAATTGCGTTCTTGTTTAACTGCTCTATAAATAGAGGTTATTATTATGGTATGTACATGTGAGGTTAATGTTAGTGAAGAGTTTAAATCATCTTAAATGGAGACATTAGAGAAACTCCAATCATGGAGCATCATTACATTTGACCTTCACTCCACTCCATCTGAACAAAGGTAGTTATCATCAGGAAAAGCATGAAAATAGAGAGAAGATTTCTCGGGATTGCATTTATTTCATTTCACGTGTTATTTTGAAGGTTGTACAAAAAACTCCACGGCTAATATTCTGTTAATTTAGTTGTGTTTAATGCCAATGTACGCTATTTCTACCATAACAAAAAAATGCATGTGTGTACTTGATGAAGCTATGACAATTGCTAGCGTAGCACAGTTCTGCTGCTGACATAGTAATACCTCCTCACTGAGGAGGCGCCTAATTTTGAGTTTCTGTCTACCACTAAATATTACATCAGATCTGTCATTAAAAAGCAGTAAAGTTTGTGTGCAGCCATTGTTTAAGTTTTCCCCTAAATAAATAACATTTTTTCTTCACTACACAATAGTCAGTCGCCACCAAATTACAGCATTGTTCAAACAGGGTCCAAACATTCACATCACCCTAAACAATCATTACGACCTAATTGGAGTAAAGCGGTTAAATACCAGATAGGGTTTCATGAGACGGAGAGTTCTCCTCCATTTGTTTCCTATGAGAAGTAAAAAAGCACCAAGGTCATGTGATTACAGGACATGAGTTCTGAAATGTACATTATCCAGAGAATTTGGAAAAATAATATTGCACATGAGCACATATTTTTGGATGAGAACCAAAGTAGAGTACAACAGTGTTTTAGTGTTGTCCTGGTTTCTTAACATTAGTGATAATGTTTCCACCGTGCTTTGAGTTTGTTCACGTCACTGTCTTTGTTCTTGCCAACACACGGGGCTTTTAATGTAGTACCAAAGGTTTTGACTTTTAATGTTATGTTGTGAAAAGATTTTCATTTCTTAGTCCCTAGTAAGAAATTGAAAAGAAAAAAAGGAAGTGTTGTGTATTTTTTTTAATCATTCTTATATCTACAATATAAAAACATATTTCTTGCGTATTTATTGTCCTCATAGTTGGCTGTTTGAATGTTGATTAAGCACAGTCCTAACAGTGACTCTGTAACTGTAACTTTTCTTGTTTCAGGGGTTCTGTCCAGGTGTTGGCTGTGAAAAGTTGATCTTCTCCACGTGAGGCCCTGTAATGGAACTTTCCAGGTTGTGCCCTGTCTTCACCCCATGCTTACTGGGATTGGTTCCAGCTTCTCTGCGACACTGAGAAACTATTAGGCAGTAGAAGATGAATGAACCATGTGGGAGTCACAGATTTTGTGACCAGGCGTTGGTGGTTCCAGGATACTGCTTCAAATCTCCTTGAAATCCAGATTGTCTTCATTTCTCTTGACCCCCATGTAGAAGCTCAACGTGTGTAGTCTCTGATCAAGCTGTGCATCTCTGTTTATCTTGTACTGACCAACGTCCTGGGCAAATGCCAGGATGTTGGGATGGGGGTGGAGGGACAGGGGGAGGGGGTAAATGCTGTGGTTGTTAAAGTGAGAGGTGCATTTATCCTGACTGTAGACAGTCTGCGTCAAACTGGATTCTCGCTGTAAAAACAGCTCAGTTGCTGGAATTCACATTTTTACAAACAAGCTCTATTGTTCCTCAGGAACAGTTTGGAACATTTAATTCGTTTCTTTGCTACTGTTTAATGCCCAAAGACCGTAACATGAGGCAGACAGGCTTCACTTCTACAGTGTGTGCAGTTGATAAAGAGCCAAAAGTTCAAAAACGGTTTTACAGAGGGAGATGTGGGTGGAAGAGGTGGAGGAGGAGGAGGAGATGAAGAGGTGGAGGTGGGGATTTGGTGCCTCACATGTTGTCCTTGGGGCCTGAGCACTGGTGCTGGCTTGGCAGCAAGAGAGAGGAAGTGTGGAGGAGGGGGATGTGTGTATGTGTGTTTATGTTTGTGTGTGTGTGTGTATGTGTGTACGTGTGTGTTTGTGGGGCAAGGGGTGGCTAGGGCCTCTGCTGGTGCCACGTTAGCATCACAGAACTGTGATCCTTTTCAGGGCTCAGCAGTCGAACTTACACTGTGGCTGCATCCACCTTATAAAAGACATTTGAGGCAGTCGCAGCCTCACAGGCAACATGGAGGTGTTCATCTGAGGTGTCATCTTATCTACAGAGCAGGACGTTTGTTTTTCTTTTCTCAGTAGATGTTAGAAGTAACACCATGTGAAATACCTTGGAGAGAAAAACAAAACTTTAACATCCATATAACATCTTTCATGTTTGCACGGGTAGCTGAAGCCAATTCCAACCTTTTCTTGCAGGGGTGGGATTCAATTCTGGACTGATGGCCAGTCCATCCCATATATTATTGCAGTCAATTTAGAGTGAGCACTTACACTAACTCTGCATGTTTGGGCATGTTTTTCATGCTCATTGTGCTGCTGCATGGCTGGTTTTAATAAAAACAAAGTTCTATTTAGGAAATTAACCAAAACAAGATCAACTACATAGCAGTATAATCATTATTTGTCCATTGTCCTGTGGTTGTAGCAGGGGGTCCTGTCACTGATTGACTGTTTTGGAAAAGTGAGCCAGAAGACTGGAGTATATTCTTCATGCTTCTTTCTGGTTGCTAATGGAGAAAATGACTCTCTTCAATTACATTTACCCAAATTCTTTCTTTCTTCAAGGCTGTGTGGCATTCATTACTGGCTATATTCAAGATTCCACTGTCCAAGATTGATGGCGACCCTTTGACCTTTTCCGAAAAATCCCGTCAGAGAGAAATGCAAACGAAGATGTCACTGTTGGACCTGCAGTCGAGTGAATCCAAGCATCCATTTCAGCTCTGGAAACGTCAATAAATTGTGGTGAATCAAAGTGTCATTAACGGCTCAATGTAAATGGAAACACTTTTTGTGCTTAGGGGAATATTCAAAATCTGTTTCTGTGGTTGGTAATGAATTTACTGCAGACTGGATGGACCCCATCATTTTCAGGTCCAGCTGGATATGAACCATGGACTCTAATTTTTCTTTTTCTTCCCCATGCAGAGCAGAGGAGGATGTGGTATGTCGAAGAGGATGAGCTGAATCAGAGAAAAGAAAAAGTGAAGCAGACGAGCTGTCTGTCCTTCACTCAGACACAGGACACAACAGAGGCGATGGCAGAACCAAGCACAGCTGGGATTTTCCCACACGGCAAGGTCAGAAATTAGTGCGGCTCAGGGCAAAATGCCCCAGAAATGTTTGAATTACACTTGAATTTCTCATGATAGCGGCTTTTAATAAATCCTCTAAAGTCTTAAAAATATACAGCTAGCTAACAGAATTGGACAGGGTCAGTTGCCATAAGTGTTAGCATTCATACAAAAACAAAGATATTGTTGGATCACACACATCACTAGGAGGGTTATTGCCAAATGCTATTCAGACCCCTAAGCTATTGTGGGAAATCTTAAAGTGTGACTTTAAGGCAGCTGAAAGGTACCAACATTTTTTTGGTAAATTACTTTATTTCTGCCAGAAAAAATGCAAGAAGTAACTAAAAATGTAACATGTTTGAGTGAGTGAATAAAACGAATCATATTTTTGGGGACGTGAGTAGTAACTGTACTATTGTACCCAAACCTTATACAGGGTATAAGGACTTTAACTGCTTCAGGTGGTGCTTTGTTAACAATGATCAACTTTGTCCTTGTTTTCACCCCAAACCTACTTATTCTGACCTTTAATCTGCAGAGTAATTCCTGATTTGTCTCATTGAACAACTGGGTGCAGACCTTGGTGTAAATGTCTCTAGTTGAAGGCCATATCACAGCCAGTCCTCCTCAGTCTGCCCTCTGCTGCTAGTCTGGTTCACAGATACTCAGACCATATTTGTGGGGAGTGAATTCCTGCATCCACCACTGTCATGCAGCAGACCAGGCTGCAGATTTGTGCAAAGTCCCCATGAAACATGTAATTATACAAAAGCTATACAGACATATATGCTGCTCTGGTGGGAGGTGGAGGCTGTTGTTGTCTCATCATGGATCAGAGTTGTGTGTGTGTGTGTGTGTGTGGGGAGGGGTACCTCACATACAGACGGTGTTCATTAATCTGAGAGAGAAAAGGAATAGGACTAAGAAAAGAAAGAAGAAGATGGCTCCAAAGATAGGTGTGAAGATAAGGAGAAACAAATGTTAGAATAAAGGGAATATGTTAGAATGAAGGAAGGAGACGTGAAGGATGGGAGAAGACAAAAATATAAGAGGTGGAGAAAAACGGGACAGGGAAAGGTGAAAGGAGAGTTAAAAGGAAAGGAAAAGAAAATTTAGAGGCAGAGAAAAATGGAGAAAGACAAAAGTAAAGAGAGTGGCATGGAAAGGGGGCAAGAAAGGAGACAAGGAAACAAACAAAAGGGGATAAGGGGAATGTGAGAGGCAAAAGAGAAAAAGTAGGAAGTGAAGGGAAGAGAAAAGAAAGAATTAAAGATGTTAAGAAAGTAAGAAGGAACGTGGTGAGCATAGAAAAAGGGTAGGGAGCTACAGAGTATGGGAGAAAAGAAGGGAGGAAGAAGGAACGAAAGACAGAGAAAGACAAAGAGAGTCCTCATCCTCCTTCCTTCCTTCTTTCCTTCCTTGCATCCTTCAGCTGAAGAAAACTTGAGGTCTATAGGAATGTGCTGATGACTGACTGTTTCATCTTGGTCTCACATTACCACCCAGACTGAACCTCACTGACCCGACACACACACACACACAGATGCTGGTATTTGTCATTGTGCCTGTATTTTGATGCCCCTGGTTTCCAGGGTTACGGCTGGTGTGAGAGCAAACAGTCACTGGAAAGATGGAAAGCTGTCCTGTAAGCACTCTGGTGGTTTTTTGGCCTGTTGGACGTAGGTTTTTATAACCATATCCACTCTTTCTGACCCTCAGCATGGGAAGAAAAAAAAACTCACAATGATGTCTTTACAGTGGAAAATAATCTTAGAAAACTTGGTGCAGTTCCTCCCTTCTTCACATCTGTAGGTCAGTCATTTACTTAAACCTTTAATAATCAGACCAGGAAAAAGGGAGAAGATATTTTGCATTTTTCTGGAGAAATATTTTAATTAATAAAAGTAGAAACACTGTTTAAGAGGGGCTCAGTTAAAAAAAACAAAACATTTTCTAAAAATCTGGTTACACCCTCTTTGCATCATCTCTGGACCAAAACTCTCTCAGTTCCTCAGTGATTTTCCAACACTGATGATGTTATGACTAAGGGAAAAAACTGTGTCTGTGGAGGACGATCAGATCAGATCAGATCAGTCTGATGACCTGGTCTGACTCATCCTTGTGAACAGTGTAGGTGTCCAGGTTATTGTTTTAAATATAGAATTCATGTTTGCCCTGGTCCTTCTTCTTAACCACCACCTGGATCATTTAAAAAAGTCTGGCTTGGATTTAGCTCTTCTTACGTAACTTCTTGTCATCTTTGTGCTAACATATTGAATTCTTCTACTTTCTGGTAATGGATTCATGATGATTGTAAATACTTAGCCAGTTGTTACCTTGTTTGTTTGGAAATTTCTTAACATGGTGTTTGTGGTAGAAGTGCAATTAATGCAATAAATGCATTTCTCCTGCAAAGAAACTTTGGATGGGGATGGTGAAAAACAAGGATTCCAAAAGGCTGGCAGATATAAATAATCGCGACAGCAGCAACAGAGATGTGACAATTACAGACGTGTTGTTGTTGGGTCATGTCTGCATGGGTCCAGTTAAATTGTGTTGTGCTATTTCCTCCTCTCCGCATCAATCTCTGGATGCACGGACCTTGTTATTACCAGGCACTGATGTAAATAGCAGGCAGTAGACTGATGTTGTTTGTGTGTCTGCGTCATTCTGTGGAGTTGTATTTAATTCATTTGACTAAAGACGCATGATTTTTATTAGACAGTTGACTCGCAGTGGAGTTTAATAAAGTTTTGTGGAAGAAAAGTCATTTTATAATCAAACGCACAGACAGAATTATATATTTTTTGTGTTAAGATTGTTGCTCACAGACTTTAAAAAATGGACAGAACCCCTTGTGGAGAAGCCTGGAAATCATTCTTTATTGATACTGTAAGGAAGAAATCATGTCAAAATCACAAAAATTAAATCAAATACGTCTGTCATATTTGCTGTATTACTGCCGTTTATACACAAGTAAACAAAGGAATCTGTGCTCCTCTCAGATGTGACAGTGATAATGGCTGCAGATGTGAAAGCAAAATGTTGCTTTAACACAGGTTCACTTTAAAAACACTTTAAAAAAGGTCCACTTTTTATATTTTTAACTGAACTGGTTTATTTAGGGTTGGTTTAATCCTGAGTCACATTGAAATTGAATTGGAATGACTGTATTTTTGGGTTTAAATTCTAATAAATAATTAATATTTTTAGGCACAATAAATTTGATTTTTGCTCTTTACTTAATGCCTTTATAGTTTAGTGTTAATTCCAGATGAACTTCATTTATGCTGTTGTTTCTTGGAGGAGTATTGAGTCTATATTGAGTATTTTTTCAGGTACAGTACAGGACGTAACCGAATGACATACATTGAAATAACTCATTCAAAATCATAGTAAAGAACTCCAGAAAGTTTGGAAATAAGAAATATTTCCAGAAGTGGAAATCAAAATCTCTTGATCAAACTAGCACGTAGCCTCTGGTAGCTACATCTTTGAGCGTGAAAAATACAAATAAATTGACATAAAAATTGATTTTTGCATTTACAGCTTAAAGATAATAAATTGTTAAAAGGTAAAAGTCAGATCAGTACCTGTAGATTCAGAGTAGCTGAAGAAATGCTGGTAAATACATATAAAAAATGTAGCTGGTTAGCTGTTGTGTTTGTTTAAAATCTGCGCACAGTGTCCGTCTCGGTGGTTGGACACCTTGTCGATATTCAAGTACTCTCCTCTGTTTCTCACGGGGAGTAAAATAAATTAGTTGAACTGCCCTGCAGTTGCACTGTGACCTGCAATGTGACCGGTGATGACGAACTGAAGACAATAGAAACACACACACACACACACAATCACACACACACACACACACACACACACACACACATATATATAAACTGGTATTTAAAAAAACATTACAGGAAAAATAGGTAAGGAGAGATGTTTGTGAACCTGATTTTGCCTGATTTTGTACCTTGCAAGATCCTGATACTGTACTATTTCAGCAGTCTATGTGCGCAGACACAAAACAGTTAAAATATATATGTGATGCTTAATTCTAAATTCATTGGGAGGGGGGAAAGGACAAAATCCAAAGCCTCAAAAAAAAAATCAACCTACCTAACATTCAAAAAACAACTCCTCTAACATCTGTACACATCCCTGATACTTTAACTGTATCAATTAATTGTAAAAGGGTTACAATTTTGTATAAAAGATACAAAAAATATGACATAGACAAAAAGTATCCTGCAAAAAAAACAAACTTTGAGTACATTTTGACAGATATTTAAATCTCTGTAACTCACAGCAATGGAGAACGGAATCTCTGTAACTCACAGCAATGGAGAAATTTGTTTCCACCAGAAGAAATAGTACGAGGAATGTACAGTATCTGCTGTACAAGAGGGGTCGGGGGGGAACTTTTGTAAATGTAGCTTTGCCAGTAAAAATCAAAAACTTATTCCAAAGTGTTTGAAAAACCTTAGTGATGGAGAACTATTAAAGATGCAGCCATGTTTTTATAGCCAAAAACATTAAGATGTTCAGTTAGCATCAGGTTTAAACAAAAGAAATCTGTTTTTCGATTCCCAAAGAGTCTTTGCTTAAGAAAAACTGAGACATTATCCTGGTTTACACATGTTATTCATTACCTCCCTCTGCCACCATAACCTGCAGCTGTAAAACCTCTGACCACTTTCTATGTACAATTTATGAAAATGTTATGAAGCCAATGTAAAAACAAGCCAATTTCTGTCAGTAAAAGTTCCTGGTACTTTGCAGAGACCTAGCTGTTGACTACTTCATCTAACCTACTCTTTCCACCTTGACTTTCAATAACAATGGCGCAACTCAGTAGTTAGTTTAAAGAAAAGGAAAAAAAACCCAAAAACATTTCATCCGCTGCAGTATTCTTTTTTCAGACTCCTTGTCCCATCATGCTTTGCTGTCCAGCAACAATTCCTCCAAACACAAAGTACAAGTATCCGAACCATCCCATCACTCTGTGTGGGAGAGAATGCCAAGTCAGAACTTCAACCATCACTGGCAACTAAAGTCAACAAAAGAAATTGATTTTGATTGAATATATGATCAAATATTTTTCACCTGAATCTATTGATTCTAGGTGTTAGCTGGTGCTAGCTGTTAACTTGACGTTCTCTCCCATACAAGAATAGGAACAAAGTATGACATGGAAAATCTTTGGTTTATAGCAGGAGTATCTTTGGCAGCCAATTCCACAGCCTTCAAGACTGTGTATCAGAGTGGGTGTGATGGGGGTGGGTGTAGGGCATAAGATTCAAAGCCGAAGGCCAGGTGGAGGGCGTGATGGTGGTGCACAGGGAGGCCCAGGTGGTGTACGAGATGGCGGTGGGCCTGTTGGAGGTGATCTGGCAGGAGGGCTGCCGCAGGTGGGAGAAGAAGGAGGCGGGGACATGCGAGGCGCAGGGTGGTAGTCTGGTGTTGGAGGTGCAGGTGCAGGTGCAGGTGCTGGGGTGCGAGGTGGAGCTTTGTGTGCTGCTGCTGCTGCTGCTGCTGCTGCTGCTGCTGACTCATTCTTTACTCTCTGGAAGTTGATGCAACGACCCTAGGGAAAAACAATAAAAGACACAAAGATTAAGAGTAAATCCCAAATTCACTCCCTGACCTCTTGACCCTCTGTGGCGGACTTTGTGTCACATATCTTCAGATTGTGATTTACACCCAGAGCCATGACAGACCATACTGTGTTAACCCAGGGAAAGCTGAACTGACAGAGGTGGAGTAAAGCTAGTGATGCCTTCACAGCTTGAATAAATAAATTAATTTACACCGTAATGAGCATTTAGTGCACCATATTTCATTACTAGCATTCCTAAAAATCCCTATTTGCAGAGGAATTCCAAATCTTTCTCCGAGGCTGCGTCTGGTTGGCAGCCACAGTGAGATGAGATCACGCTAATGTGCTAATAATACCAGGGATCCAAGCCACACAGCTTTGGTTTTAAGGAGTGGAAAAAGGAAATGACGTCACCCACAATGCAGTACAGGATATACGTTATAAAGTACATCTTCTACTTTTACTACATGTCCATGTGTTAAATTTGATTGTTTATTCTTACCTGATGAACACTGATAAATGTGAATGTTGATCCCTAAAACATGGCACAAGTTCTTAAATTTGACCTTTTCATAGACATGAAATGCTAGGAATGGCCCATTGTGATGCAAAATACATGACAAACTGAGGCATTTAGGACAAAACACTGAAGACAATGAGAATAACAACAAACCAAACATAAATTTTGGACCTTTCCCTAAACTTTTGGCCTCTTCACAAACCAAAACATTCTAATTATCTTTTTGTTTTAAGAAAAACCTCCACCACAGTCTTCTCTGTAACACTCATGTTGAACTTTAACGTGTCAGATGCAAATTACAGAAACCAGAGAAGTTGTACCACTGAGATCTGAGGCCGCGGTGGTGCAGGAAACAGGGCCGTATGGAGAAAATATAATGTCTCCGCCTGTGTATTCTCATACTGTGAAAACATTTGGCATCCAGTCAAAAACATCGGTCACAGAGGACAAATTCCATCCATCCTGACTGTGAAATTAGCTTCTGAGAGAAGAAGTGGCAGAGCTGAGAGGTTAAAAATAAAACAAAACTAGTATTAAAAAAAGAAAATTCAACAAAACAACTCTACAAAGTCATAAATAAACCAAGTTAAAGGTGACACATTTGGATCAGATTAGCGTGTTTGCTGATGTGCGTTGTTCTGTTCGCTTCAAGCTGTTTTTGTTTGTCTGATGAATCAAACACAAGTCTGTTGAAGTGGCTACGTTTTAGCATAAACCACTGTGCTGCCCTCTGGACTGCACCAATGCCCCGCCTCCTCACTGCTAACTGATTGGAGGAGGCGACAGACATCATTAGTGAGGAAAGTGACACCGTTACGTCACAAGAATGTTTAACATATGCAGCCATAGCTGAAGGCTTCAGGCATTTTCTATCTGACTTGCAAAGTTGGCTTTGTATAAAGTAATCATCAGTATGTTTTTCTTCATTAGCCTGAGGTTGAGACCAAAGTATATCAAACTCTGCCTTTATACCTGGCAGTGATGCCAGGAAAATCAGCTCCTACTGTGAAATTCCTGTTACAACAGATCACTGGAAAAAAAATCTGCTAATAGGGCAAAAGATATTAGAAGCTCTGACTATAAGAGGTGGATCAGCAGGACACAGAGTGTGGATGAAAGATGAACTCTATACTGTAGTATAGATTACAGCTCAACATAAAGCTGCACATGAGATATAATATACTAATGCAGTGAAGTGAAAGAACCTAATTATTTTAGCTGGACCTGATTACTGGGCTTTCATCTATCCTAGTTTGGGCTAACTTTTAGCTCTACCTATATTTAGCATAGGATATTTTTAAATGACAAAAACATTCCAGAATGTATATTTTCACTTTCTTTAAACAAGTTTGATAAACTTTTTCTGTCCTAGAGTTACAGTAAAATCAGTAATGCTTACATAATGCTACAGCTGCAATGTACTTTTTTAGCCAATCTTTATTTAAAATGAACCTCCGTCAAGGGATTCAAAAGTTGATGAACTCGGCGAACTTTCAAACACCCATCTCAGCTTTCTAGATATAACGGTTATGAACCTTGAAACTAAACCACATGTGTGATCCAAGAAGAAAAAGCTGAGTATCTTACACCTCTAGTGACCATAAATGCAGAGACATCTCTGAGCTCCATGCTGAATATATTTCACTGTTTATGGCTTTTTTCAGTGCCTAATTTGGAGCAGGTGTGGTAATAAAAATGGTTCAACTGGATGAACAGGAGACAGTGGAGATGTTCCCAGCACAGGAGCCATGCAGGTGATTAAAACAGAGAAGAACCGAAGTGAGAAGGTGGTGAGTTCACATCTCTACACATATCTGATACTGTTTCAGTCCACACACCAGGTCCACATGGGTCATGTTTGGTTTTACTGGGCATAATGGCCAAGAGGAGGCAGTGAAGGTCAACTGAGTGGAACACATTTCACAATATGTCTGACAAACCAAATAGTTATTTTAAGTTCCCTTGTAGCTTCTTGGCAAAGCCAACTGTTTTAGATTAGGTTTTAGTAGTTGTTACTCACATGATCTCCAGGCTGAGGTCTCATCAGAGAAACCTGGTCGTAGCCGCGACGAAACAGAGCCCAGATGGCATCCAGTTTACCCTGCGCAAAAGCAAGAATAGAAAAAAAAACAAAACATTTGTAACACCTGGCCATCTGCAATTTAAAATCTTCAACTTCAGACAATTTTTTTTCTTGCGTGGGCTAAAATAGAGAGATATCAAAAGTAACATGATGCACAAGTATGGAGGTGGGTGTGGTCAGTCTTCAGCCTGAGCAGGAAGTGCAGGTGTGGTTGTGGCTTTTGACAGCAGTTTGAGCTAAGCTAACAGACCCAGCTGGTGCTAATTCTTTTCCTCATTGAAATGTAAAAACATGCTGGACCTCAGGTGACTGAAGGTGAATTTCCAGAGCCAAAAAGTCCAAGAAAATCTAGTTTTTAGGTGAAAGACATTGGTGAGACAGGAACAAAAAGAACCAGAACCAACAGTGAAGGTGGTCTGGCTGTTGTTTGATAGAGAGCCAGAGGAGCTGAAGTAAGGGCTACAAAGTGACTGGGACAGAGACATTTTTCCCCATTGACATGTGAGTAACTTGACCACAGACTCAAACACCTCAGAGATTAAACATCTGTGTACAAATGATAGAAAAAGCTCCTGATTTAGTTCCTTTTAAACTCTGTAGACATTTAGCTATATGACCTAATAAAAATCTATTGTTTAACTATACTAGGCTCTAGGAATATGAAATGCAAAATGTAAATATTTTTGTTTTTTGTCCTAATAATGGTGAGGTAAAAAGAAAGTCAATTGGAAGTGATGCCTTCACAGTCCTAAGAACAAGTTGGTATGATCACTGTTGTTGTGGTTTTGACTCTGTTCATGCAAAGGCACTTCAGTATGAGTCAGTGAGTGTCTGCAGTGTGTTACAAATCACCCACTCTTACTTTTGAGGTATCAGTGTGTACAGAATACAGTACTGCTACTGTATACAAGGCCGAGCCTGAAGCACAGAGCTGTGTTTTGGTGCCTGATTGGAGCACAAACAGCACTGAAGCCAAGTCTAATAATGTCAGACACTCTGTCTGCAGTGTGTGTGTGTGTGTTTAATGATACCACTTGTGTGTGTGCATTGGTAGCTGCTGTACTTTGTGTTCATACATAAACGTGGTCAGAACACTCTTTATTCCTCCCTGCTGTCCTGTTAAAACTCTGTCCACTGAGGAAACTTCTCCCCACCTCAGTTACTTGAAACTGAGTGGGCAAGGAGTCAAAAATGGTCAGAGTGTAAATAAGGATTTTGGAGTTTCTGGAAAGCTGGGAGTATGAAAAAGTAAAAGGGAAAGTAAAGAAGTTTGCATGTCCTTTTGGAGCGTCTCAGTTCCTCCTCACAGCCAGTCAATGCTACGTTCTGGTAGTGGGGTTTGCTAACCATACACTGCTGTATTGTCTGCTGCTCCTCAGAGAGACTGAGCTTTGTTTACCCTGATGGGTGTGTACCACTTCCGGCTCTGAGGAGGCTTCTTGTTCTGATGTTTCTTAGGTTTGGGCTCAAAGGGTTCGTACTCCTGCTCCGGCATTTTCACCACAGCGTTTTTAGGCTTCTCCAGTTTTGCTCCTTCCTCGGTGGAACCCTTTCCTCCCCAGCGCACCTAGTAAAACCAGGAAAAACATTGAAACCAGCGACTGTCATAGGTCTCTAATAGGCCAGTAATAATGAACTTCAATTAAAAGACTCATCCAATCGATCAACCAGGAAATACTTCACCTCCATTCTCTTGATGCCTCCAATCCCTCGGCCACCGTAATACGAAGCATCCACTGTGGGCCACTTCTTCTTGGGCAGCCCATCTTCATCATCTGACTCCTGAATCACAAACATCAACATGAACACAAACTCTCTTCACCTGTTTGCTGTCTAGTTTAAGCTTGTTGTTAATTTTGCACTGAATTAGTTGCAATGGTCATTAGTCCAGTGTGTGTTGACCTACAGGCTCAGGAGGAGGTGGAGGAGGGGGCTCTTTAATTACCTGGGATGGAATAAGAAAAAGAACGTTACTGTTGACAATACTGCCACAAACTTGGTCAAGATCCTTCTCTTCTGGATTTCTATTCCATGCGTATCCCCCAGCCCCACTCCATGTCTTTGTCAGATCTTATTACCACTGTGCAGCACAGAGGCCAGAACCACCACATGAAGAGCATAGCCAGCAGGAGGAAGAGAACCAGCAGGGTGATGAGGAGGATGGTTCCATCAAACTGGTGGGAAGAAGAAACGTGTAGATGTTGGTCAAATCAAGAGTACAGCTCCAACTGACACACCTTTGTTGACTCTCTGGCTGTGAGAGTCCTGCTGGAAACTGCTGACAATCATAATTGTGGATGGGACTTTTTTGAACCCATGCTGCAAAATTAAGAAGTTAAGTTATATCAGTGCATCAGTGTTTCTAAAACAATGGGCGGGGGTCCGCTGCCTTTTAATGTGATGGTAAAAGCACTTTACTCTGTAACAGCTGTTGTGTTACATTCCAAATGTATTGTCATGGAAAATACGAAAAAGTATTATATTTTTCACCAAAATCATGTTACCAATGGTGTCTGTTGTGGGGTCAGTTTGACACAGCTACTCCTCTGAAACTACAGCAGTAGTAGATGTTACCAACAGACATTGGTTCAGATTCGTGTTCCTCTGCTCCATGACACTGGTCCATATCGTTTTCTCAATCTCTGAATGAATCCATCAGTAAAAACAGACGGCTCTGAGGCCAACGTGGTTCTTATTACAGACCACAGATGAGATTCACATATGGTTAGACTCTCTCTCGCTCTATGCTGCTCTCTCTCTCTCTCTCTCTCTGTCTCTCTGTCATGCCAAAGACATGGTGGATTTATGTGGGCTCATCAGTGGGCTCCATCACAGGAGGCCCCCTCTACTGGAGCCCACTCTTTCTCAGAATCAGCATATTTTAGCTGGAAATATCAGGGAGGTCATGGTTAGCAGATCATTTCAGCAGCAGCATGACGTGTGTATTTATGTGTGTGTGTGTGTGTTGCTTCCCTGCTGTGTACATGCAGAGAATTAGTGGGCGACTACAAAGGCTGCACCCCCTCGACGCAGCACTTTGACTTAAGTTTTTATTGGACTTTTCCAGCCTTGATTTACAGATTATAGATGTTCTGTGTTGTTTAGAGCAGCAGCCGACTCTGGTATTTTGCAGTTCACGACTTGTCGTGCCATTTTAATCCTGCTGCGACTCCAGCCTATATGGTTGTAGTTTAGTGGGCGAGGAGCAGGCTAATTGCAATAGCATGTCTGTATATCACTGACCACAACACAGAGGCGGAGAATTGTTCTCATGTTTGTGATGTCAAATGGACCGAGGTGGAAAACGACTTCAAAGAGCTTTTTTCTTTCTTTCTTTTTTTTGGCTGCATTTGAATCCATACCCACTGAGGGTCTCCTCCATATATCCCCCTACATACAGTCCATGTTTTATTTAAATGGCTCTAAATTGTATTAAATTACTCTTGTTTCATCTGTGGGGCAGAAAAAACCTCCACCCTGTGTCTCCAGGCTGACGCTCCTGCACCTGAGACACAAAGCCCAGGATGCTTCTGTTACACTCTCACATGCAGACTTTAAAAGATTTACACTGACTGGTGTCATGGTCATGAACTTGGTTCTCTGATCTCTGGGGTTCAGATGTTCTTTTTTTTTTTTTAAGAGTGGGTCGTTGCTACGCAGCTCCTGTGGTTTGGCTCTGGCAAAAAAACAAGGGAAAATAGGAGCAAAACCTATGAAAGTGTGGATGAAAGAGATAAAGAGGCCGAACCTACATACTTCTAGAACAGCGGGGTGGAGATAGAGCACGGAGATTACATGTAAATCACATGCAGTGGTAGAAGAGCCTTCACAGGCTTCCTGAGGAGAAAATCTCCCATTTCAGCTTCCCAGACATAATTCTGAAGATTTATTGGAGCTAACAAATAACAAAAGTGGACCCTTCTTTGTAATATTTAAATAGAGGGCAGCATTTATCTGCAAATTGTATTTTAAATAGCCAAAATGTCAATCACAAAACGTTTGTGTAAAAAACAATGCCAAATTGCTCTACATTCTACCACTTAGCTAATGAAAGCTAAATTTGACTAAAATTGAAACAAAAAATTACTACAAGATATTCTTGTAGTAATAGTGTTACTTAAAATACCTGCAGAGCATTGTTGACATTTCCCTTGAAATAGTGACAGATTAGCTTAAAGTCCAGAAGTACCTAAAAGATCTTAAAGATTGATAAAAAAAATAAAAATAATAAAGCACTTGTCTTTGATTTTTTCATTAATCTCAATGATTGAAACTGCATTGTACGAATTTGTAAAAAGAGGGCGCTATCACTTACACACTCTGTGGTGGTGATGTGCACGTTGCTGCTGATGAAGGACAGACCGTCGTTCATGCTCACCTGGAGATAAATCACCCTGAGGTGGAAGAGAAGACACAGATGTGGAGAAAAGAAGTGAGATTCAACCCTGGGTCAAAGGATTGGCCCCTTTTGATTGGACCTTCTTAATGATATTCAGGAACAAGTTAAATAAGGAGTATTTGCTGTTTTGGACCAAGTCTTGTGTCAAGTTTGGATCTGTGTCCAGTACAGTATTTTCTTGGTAGTGGACTGGTAGTTTTTTTTTTTAGTATTTTCTCTTTTTAGTACCAGCTCTTCAGTGTTTTCTATTCTTGGAAATGACCCAAGATTTTAGTAATGGACTTAGAAGTTGTAGGTTGTCTTTGTGACCTTCCCTGGTATTTAACTGCAAACAGAGGGAAACTAAAACAAACCTAGTTTGTAGGTTGTGAACCTACAACCTAGTGACGGAAAACTGCAGGGTCCAGGGCCACTCGAGGTCAATTCTTTAAAATAACCGAAATGGAAAAAGATGGGGGGGAAAGCCCATCTCATAACCTGGCTGGTCAGGTTACGTGTTTTATATACACTTGTATATTTTTTCATGAGACCAAACTAATTGCAGAGAATGGAATAATGACACACAGTTTGTGTCCATGGCACGACTCCCTTCCTCCTCTTGCAAGCGCTGGAAAACAATCCAGAGAATTTAGTGTGACGTCCTGTTGTTGTTGAACCCCTTAAAAACATGTGGATGAAAGGGATGAAAGGCATGCTCTTGGTTCTGCCCCTTCCCCCGGCCTCCCCCCTTCTGTCCTAGTTTGTTGGAAACACCAGGTGAATGAGGTCTGGCAGATGGAAAGCAGACCATCTGACCGATAAACCTGCCTGCACCCTGACTCACAGAGACGTCTGGCTCCAAAGAAAAAAAAAAGGAAAAGAGAAGAATAGACACAATGAGAGAGAGAAGGGAGCAGGAGATGACATATGTGTTCTTTTAAAAGGTTTGAATGATCTTAGAGATAAAGAAGAGGTCTGATTGGATCCAGAAGGTTTGGGTTAAGGCTAGAGATGTAGAAAACAGATCGATTTGTGCTGATATGATTTAAAGGATGTTTTAAAAGGATGCTTTCAGAGGGTGAACAGCAACAGGAGTTGGTCTACAGAAATCAAAGAGGGATTCGTTGAGATCTGCCAGGAGCTCAGAAGAGTTAATGAGTTCAGTTGACTTTGGTTGGTTTCACAGATCAGGTTGTTGAGTTGGACTCTGATGTTAGAGTAAATGTGTGATCCCAGCGTTTCAGTCGTCACATAGAAACGCTGCTAAAACTGGTTGCAGCTGATCCTGCCAATTTCACTCCACACAAACACAACGTAACATAATAAAAACTCTATTCTGGACAAGTTATTCCAGTGTGGGCGTAGCTGGCTGCAGCAAATTAATGTGATTAATTTGAACTGATGATTAAAGGAAAAGAGCGCGAGACGGAGGGTGAGGGTGTAAATGGGAAAACATGACGGAGAGAAAGAATGTGAGGATGTGGTGGAAAATTAGTGGCGAGGAAAATTTTCTGCTTCAGAGAACAAAGTCAGAAAGCTTTTCAAAGGAGAAGCCAAAGACACACAGCACATGGCGTGGACACACGAATGCACCCACAATTGGCCAAGTCTTAGGTGGTCGTCCAAGGTTTAAAAACCTCGACCAGAGACCAATCTGTATCTGTTTGTAAGCTACATTTGTTTTGTTATAAATCTTCTTAGAACATGACCATGTTACTATTGTAAACTATTTTGACTTTAACCTATCCTAGACAAACTTGAACCAACATTTTTTTTTTATAGCTAAGCTTGTATTTTCTGCTGTTCTGACTAACTTTTCTTCTGGTATAGAGTTTCCTCATCTTGGCTAACTTTTATACATTGTTGCTACATTTATCTAACTTCTACTTCTCGATAAGTCACCCCTTCTAGTTTTATCTTTTTATATCTTAACTTAGAAATAAATTAAGTTTCATCAGTTAATTTTTAGAGACTTAAAAGCCATTCTTCTGTTGTTTTAACTTAAAGGGACCTTTTTCTGCCCAAAAACTGCAAGGATGGGAAATTTTCTTCACGTAGTTTCGGTTGTGCACTTAATTATTTATGATATGAAACAAAAACTGGGTTTTCTTTTACTCTTGCACATGCTTATAAATAAATAAATAAATAAATAAATAAATAAATCCCAATCATTGACTTTGTCAGTGATGTAGCAACGAAAAACTTTGAGTTTCTGCAGGAAATCCCACAAATTATCACATTTGCTGCCAGAATTGACCTAACTTGATATGCCTCGTACTCATTTATGTTTTTTCCTTCTTTGGGTAGACTCAGGCTACATTCAAACACACACACACGACCACACACTTGAAAGCCCCCGCGTGCAGTCTTTGATCAACCAAAACTGGACAGTTTAAAAGAAAGCAGCAGACTGACAGGAGGAGGATGAAAGAGGGAGATCAGAAGAGAAGAACAAATATGAAGAGAAAAACAAAATCCAGTATCAGGAGGATGAACGTGTAGAAGTGGTGGAAAATGAAGTATTAACAGGAAGAACTGACTTACAGAGTTGTGTTAAAGGAACACACGTGGTGAGGGTGTTGTTGACTCTTTATATCTGTCACTGCTGCAGTTCTCCCTCTGCCCACCACACTTCTAGTGCAAATATTGTCTCTCAAAGTGATGTATAATTTTTGTGGAGTGGGTGAAATGCAGGAATTTGCACCATAATTACAAGTGTCCTTAAAAGGTAACGAGACTTCAGTCTTCAGACGCCGTCTTCTGAACCATACGTTCATGCTGTGGCCGCTGCTCTTCTCTTCTCATAATGGCTTAAGGTCAGAGAGGTTTTTGGATTTGTTGATGTTGGATTGTGGTGGAGCTCAGAGAACAGCAGTGCAGTAAAGTACAGTCAGCTGCCAGGGTTACACCGTGAAAACTGTGGGGAGTTGTGATTCACAGCCTCATTGGCCGTCATCGTTTTTACTGTAGAGACCAAAGGGAGCTGGTCTTCAGTTAACACACACAGTCTGCTGACTTTGTGCAGCATTTAAATAAGACATTCTGTTCTTTAGTTGCTTTGTTCTTGGTGGAAACTGTGTTTTGTTATAATAGCTGTGACCCCAAAGGGCTTCTATGTTGCACTGCAATTAATATATTATTTTGAGCACGGTGTGAGGCAGAAGCACAGTGAAAAAACTCTAATACCCTGCAGCTTTCTGCTCTCTTCCGAGCACGTGATTCAATTAAACCTCCAGTATTTAACAGTAATTTGAATTGCATGTAGGCTAATTGAATCCAAAGGTAGCATTAGCAAACCCTTGGGTTTCTCCTTGATTAGTGCTTTTGATGTTTTAAATGATCTCTGCCCTATTTACTGAGCAAGCTACGGTAAAACGGTTGAGGAAAAAAAAAAGCCTATATATGTGTATATATATGTGACGTTCAGGCAGACAGTCAGTTTACTGATGATCATCTCTGGCGTATATTAAATGTGTATACTGAAAGTATTTGTAGTTTCTTCTCTGCGGTAAATCATCTGCAGTTGTTTTTGCTGTTCTGATCTAATTCAGGACCAGAAGCAGAACCAGTGCATGGACTCCTCTTTCATCATGACATGTGCTGGCTCAGCTACACACAACACTATATTTTGCTAAGCCATACTGGGCTCGGGAAAAAAGGAATGTGGCCATGGATCATAAGGAGCTAATGTATGTCAGGCCCGTACGCATGGACATGTGTTTGCATGTGTCGCTCTGGTTCTTTTAGTTGCGGTTTGAGTTCGACAATGTGATCAGGCTACATGTGGAGAACAGTCGAGGCTGAAACAAATGTTTGGACTTTAGCTCTACGGCTAACTTGCTCTGGTATGCTTTGGGAGTTTGTACTGTCTCCTTTTGCTAACTCAAGCTATTAGACGATTAATGCTAACCTATAGCTATCTTTTATCCTATGTCAGTTGCCTCCTGGACACATCTCACCAGTAAAGTTGATTGAACACAGATTCTGACTAAGTCTGAGGAACTTACTTTCCCACTTCATCGATGACGGGAGCTGGACACAGCAGAAATGTGTCTTCTACTCCGGCTGGTTTTTCATCTACCAAACAAAGACAGCATTCTGATGATTCACAGTTGTCCAAAGACGCTCACTGGACAAAATCATTTTTTCATACTAACATTACTATCACCTACTCCTTATTTAAATGCTAAGTTATTGAAGATGAGAGTGTGGATGAACTCACTGATGGTGATGGTGTCGTTGATCTTGAAGCTACACAGAACCTGCTTGATGTTCCTGGCGTGGAGAAAACCGTTGCCTCTCACCACAACTTGAAACGACTCTGGATACACAGAATATAGCATGTTATAGTCTTCGTCCTTGTGGGGACATTTGGCTGCTCTCAACTGTCTGAGATGCTGTTTTGAAGTTGTTTTTAAGATTCAGTTTGAAGTTAGGATTAGAATTAGTGTTAGTGTAGAATTAGTGTAAAAAAGAGAGGTAAAGATTTGGCCAACGTATGCAATACAAGGAGTCAAATGTCAAGTGTGTGTGATGTCCGTGTGTGTGTGCTCACCTCCTGCACACACACTTGAGGGCTCGGCTGCCAAAATTTCAATACAGGATTTCTTGATGATCTGAGGAAAAATGATAAATCGTGTGTCAAAAGTGTCAAAAGTTGACCAAAAACGAGTGCCTCAAAATCAAATGTACCTTCAAATCTAGCAACGCTATGAACACAAACAAATCAAGCGCTTATTTATTTAATTAATTATAATACGTTGGTGACAAGTTCACAAAAGAATCGTACAAGGATTTAAAAAAATGTTGATTTTACCGAGTCGATGACTCCTCTGAGGGCGTGGAAACCTCCCAGGACAGGAAACACGTGCTCAATGGTGTCGGCAATGGTGGCCAACTTTTAGGAATAAAAACAGTGCAGGCAGCTAAGTGTTAGCATCATGGGGAAAATAGACATATTTTCAGTGTGGTTGAACCTCTCCAACATGCCGTTCCAACATTCCGTTCTCTGGATGTTGTTTGATATTAACAAACAAATTTGTTTTAAATGAGTCTTATATATACAAGAGCTGTGAGTGTGGGAGTCACGTCCTGTTTACATTAATAATCTACAGTCAGATACTGAGCTGGTTTAGTTGAGTTGAGGTCTAAAGGGAGTCTCCAAAGTCTGGTTCAGTTTCAGTTCAAGTGAATTCTTCTTGATCTGAGTGCTCCAGTTTGTTACCGTCCTGCAGTCTAGTTCTCAGTGTTAAGGTCTGAGTCCCCAGGTCACTAAAGAAAAGTTGAAGTTGATTAACACTTCATTCCCATGGGAGTCCCAGCAGTGGACAAGACTGCAGAATTCCTGAGGACAAGCCGTGTGACTCTAAGTCTGACTTTTAGATTTTTATAGTGTAAAAAAAAGTAACATTATTTTCTCACCTGTGTCTCATTGAAGTCTTTGACGCCAACACAGTAGACGATGGCTCCCAAAGATCTGGCTTTTTCTGCCTGTTGTGGGAATTCATAAATATTAGCAAATATATATATATCACACTTTTCCTGCTTTTGGAGAAAAAGAATTGCAAAATGGTAAAAAAAAAATCAGAACCTCCTGCTGTGCAGAAGTGAGCTGATGCTCCTGCAGTTCTCCATCTGTCAGTGCAATTATCACACTGGCTGTGCCTGGAAAATAACAATTTAAAATAATCAGGAAAAATATATTAAGGGTCACAAAAAAAAAAAATGCAAGAATGATTGTGATGCGTACCAAAGTTTTCCTTGAGAATCTGCTCGTTGGCCTAAGAAATGGTAAAGTCAAGTTAATATTATTTAATTATTTCATATTTAAAAACAAAATTTGAACATGAAAATAAAATTAAAAATCACCCCAAACTAATAGTAACAAAATTGACTATTGTATACCTGGCCTGTATGATTTTGAAATACACAAAGTAAGTCAAATAATATGTTTTACATTCAGATGAATGAAATAAACTCAGCTTTAGTTGTAAGTGAATGTTGCACAAACACAACAAGTGCTTTACCATCTGTAGTCCGAGGTGCATGAACGTGTCTCCTCCTGGAATCTCTTTTTGAAGTGCATTTAACCCTTTCCTGATTTCTTTCCTGCAGGAAGAGAGAGAGAGAGATTATTTTAGTTTTTACTAAATTAATGAAATGATATAAAAACTATATTCTAATGATTTTATGGTTCTGGTTGTAGATAAGTGTTAACCAGTCGTGACAAATTTGGATAGCTCTAGGCTATATATATATATATATATATATAAACCTACAGTATGTTAGTAATTCTGGTATTATACTATAACAGAAAGCCAAAAACTGAGACAGAAAACTAAAAATAACTTTAAAAAGTGAATCTGAAATACATACAAACATAACTAGCTGAAAGATGAAAAAAAAAAGTTCCCATCAATGACATCATGCCACATGAGTGTAACCTTCACAACAGTACTGACCTGTTTTCTGTCAGCTTCATGATGATAAAAGCCCTGGAGGAGAAGGTGATGAAGGACATCCTCAACATTGGACTGGAATAAAAGACAGAGAGAAAAGTCAAATCAAACCGTCCTGACATGTCGTCAAGTGTAAAGACGTCACAGCTGCTCATGTGTGAAATCAAACTTTCACAACAGCCTCTGGCAGCAGCTGGTTGCTGGTTTGTCTCCAACTTACTGCACATTTCTCACACCATCTGACTCCAATTTCTACTTAATAAGGGTAATAATCGTTTCCAGGAATTCTTAGAAAACAAAACAGTTTTAGTTTTACACAAAAAACAAAAAAATAAATCATAGCTCTAACTTTAAGCCTTTATTGAGCTTCACTGTAAAAAAAAACAACCCCCCCAAAAACGGTGTGGATGATTCGGTTCAATCCCTCAGACTCTGGGACTTTGTTTACGGCTGATGTTCTTTCTTGGAAAGAAATAGTTAAATGTTGTTGAAGGGTCGGAACTGATTTATTGCAGGTTTGTTCTGTTTAAACATTTCTGGTTATTTTGCGTCAAACTGAACCTTTGAGGTGGTTGGTTGGTTGGTGTGTGTGTGTGTGTGTGTGTGTGTGTTGTTGATGTTTGTGACTGAACTGCTGGACACCTGCTGCTGATGTTGCATAATTGGGACAAACAGGCTGAAGGACAGATGCTGGAATGTTGCCTGGAGTGATTTAGATTTTCTCACCTCTTAAATTTCTCTGCTAGGTTTTCCACAAAGTAATAGATTTCCTCCCAGTGATGCTTCACGCTGCCAGACCTGAAACAAAGACGGAAGATATTTGTATCAACATTTTTCAGACATGCATGTATGTCAACTCCAGAATCTCCTCTAACAGCATTAGAAAGGATGCAGAATAGAATAGAGTGTTGGGTGAGCAGTGTCGGCAGGTTTCACACAGTAGATGTAAAACATTATTTACAGTATATATCTGTGTGTTACAAATGATTTCCACAGCTTAATCTATTCAACATGTTGGAAAGAAATCAGTGTGTCGAGCCAAAAAAGACAGGAGGTAAAACGAATAACCTAATACATCATGGACCTGTGAGATTGTTTTTTGTAGAAAATTCAGTATTTATCTCAATTATCTGTGACAGTTCCGAACATTATTCACTTTAAGGCAATCGGTGATTCAATGTGGTTTTGAACAGTCTACAAACAGCATGTTTACCATCCAAGAAAGCCTTGACATGTTTGTTAAATGTTTCATTACAAGTCATTACAAGGTGGTTTTTTAATTGATATAGTACTGCATTTCTGTTAATATGACGTATGGAATTAAATAATGTCATTGCACAGGAAAGTTCCAAATTAATTTAAAATTCAAATTTACACCAAATCATAAATGTATATGTGACACCTCCACTTCACGCCCCCTTCTGCCACAAAACAGGAGATTTATTTAGTCTTTATCGAGGCTAGGCTATACTAGCTTTATTTTTAGGAGTTTAGAATTCACTCTGCAGCTACGAGCTACATTACTGCCACCTACTGGGTCTGTAGTACGCTGATTATGCTTCAGTATAATAATTATTCATAAGTATTCATAACCGCAGGGTGTGTTTTATGTACTTTTGACAAAAAGAGAAAATGCAGACAGTATCCCTGCTTATGACCACAGGTTAATTACATTGTGTTTTCCAACAAATAGCAAAAAATAAAATAAAAATAACAGTCTGCAGTGGTCTCTGGTGACATGAAAACAGCTTCAAGTGTTTTTGTAGCACCCCTCTCCACCTGTGGATCTGGATGTGGCTCTCAAGAGACAGGAAACAGGCCCTGCTCTCTCCAGGGACAGACCCATAAAAAGGAAGACAAAATCCCAGTGGACTTGCTTTGATTTCCTCTGGGCCAGGTTGTGTTTGTAGCCTTTCTATTAAAGAGGTAAAGCTTTGGGTCCCAGAGGTCAAACCTCTGAGGAAATAAACGAGTCACAGAGAGAAGTGACACATGGGAAATGAGCTAAGTGGTTGTGGTTAGAGACTAGATTCCTGTTTGAAAGAGCAGGATTACTCAGAGTAAAGTGACAGGGATGAGTGAATGCTGGTCCTGGTGCTAACAGACTGATGTAACCATATTGGACACATGTCCACCAGCCAGGATTGAGGTGGGGATGTTATTCCAGGAAGGTCAGAGAAGGGCAGGAAGATCGACGGTCATGTTATGCATGCCTTTGGGCGACCTTTGGTTATTGACACTCCATTTTAAAGCTATTCCAGGACTACATAAAAGCTATTCCTGCTATTTTAGAGATATTTCTAACTTGTGTCTATCTGGAGGCTGAGGAAGTTTAGTACAAGGACATTTGGAGGTGGAATTCACTAGTCTTCCAAAACCTTACCAGGTTTCATAGTGAAGAATGTGACTAAGTTAAGTTAACTGTGAATAAATTAAAAGTACTGTAAAACCAAACCATGGCTCCTGGCCATGTCCTGACTCAACAAAGTGAGGAGAGAATTACGTGTCTGCTGGTTTTCTACCCCTTGCTGTCAGGGTCAGGGATTAGCAGGATTTTTTCAACAAAACCCCCTTGGAATACCTGAGTGTGAATTCTTCTTCAAATATGTTTGGTTATGACATGTCAAATGAAAGAAAGCTGGTTACAGTAAAGAAAAAGTTGGCTAAAAGGTAGCAAAAGAGAGTAAAGGGAACAGCCATGATGAGAAAACAGAAAGTGTTACAGCAGCTGTGCAAAAAGTTTGGCTCCTAATGTAGTTGGAATAGTTTTTTAATCTTAAGCGATGGTTAAGTAATAAGTAAGTATTTAAGTTAAAACTGAAGGGCTCTGTAGTAAATAAAAAGGCTTTGTAAGAAAACACCATGTAGCTCTGCAGTAGATATTCACGGTACAGTCTGGTTTGTTTTTGAGTTGTTTGAAAGTCAGAATTCAGCAGAGACTGCACTGGTGAAGTCAGTTTGGAAAGTAAGAACCAAACGAATTGTGACTAATGTTGTTTGTCTTTAACTGAGCGTCCCAGTGTCAGTTACCCTGTGGTGTTTTTGTGTTATTGCTCTGCTGTTCAGGGGTAATTATCTGGTCATGCTTGGATGGGGTTTGAACACAGCCAAGGGATTTCAGGGGGACTTTCTCTGTGATGCCCAAGTCATTCAAGGTTTTCATATCCTGCCAAACCAAACCTTGGATCTGTGTAAAGATATGTTTTTTTACTGGACTTAGAGCAAACTAAAGTTCAAACTCAACCACATCTGGCCTTTGTCGAGGGGTATTTAGTCAAAAGGGGTTAAGGGGCGATATTACGATGGCTACACCAGTACTGGTGTTTGTAAGCACTAAAGCTAGTGAGTTATGGCCGAAAACTGTGCACTGTCCCTTACATGTGTAATTAGGTTTGATAACACTGTGGAACCACTAAAAATCTTTAAAGTCCCTTTTGTTAGCATACGGTTTAGATCAATCGACCAATCACACAAAGACTTGATAAGTTCTGGACTCATTTATTTACTGCAGATGTGGCCAACCAGTCAAGAGGACAAGAGTCACAGTGTTTACTGTGTTACTGCAAAGAACCACATGAAATACATGGGCACATGTGAACTGCCTCATCCCTTTAACACAAAATTAAATAAAACTCTCCCATTCTTTTAAAACTTACTGTGTACATCTTTTCATCTGTGCAATTTGGGTTTTCCCTAATAGATTTGCGTCAACGCCCATCGGCATGAGATTCACATAGCATAAAAAAAAACAAAAAACACAAGTGGCTTGTGGCTCCCGTGCCGCAGGTTGGCCATGCCTGATTTACTGGCTCAAAATGTTTTTAAGGAACCAAACGTGTCAGAGTTGTGTCTGTATTAGCATTGGAAAAATTAGTTCTGTATTCAGAACTAATTTTTATTGCTGAAAAACAGGTTCAAATGGGCCACGCAGTGTATCCTTCATCCCTGTCGACCTACTTTTCTGTCCTTAAAAGACTCGTAGCCAAACTTCCAAAATAAATAAACAGACTGATTGCTCTGAAAAAAGTGAGCCGCTGCACAGGAAGCATGTAGAAAATTAATATTCCATTTGTCCACCACAGCTGCCAGGGATCCAGAAGGGTTAGGGTTAATGTCTTGGCCAACTACAGTATGACTTCCACAAAAACACGTTATGGAAGAATCTGTTTTTCTGTCATCTTGTTTGGACTGAAACAAACGCAGGTCACATGAGTTTATGTTTGATGCTGTTATTTTCATAGAAGGGACGTAGCGTCTCCTCCCACATCAAGGGTTGACATTCCCGTGGAAGGGTGCAAGACCTTAGAAGACAAACAAAAAGTCCTCCCACAAATAAAGAAAGAAAAAGAAATTGAGGTAACTGTTGTTTTGCTTCATGTCCAAAAAATGTTCAGCGTCAACAGAAATATTCAGACTAGGATTGAAATGTGTTCTAACACAACAACTACAGAAGAGTTAGAAAAAAAGGAGAGGGCTGTTCCTACAGGGATCTTTATAAGCTGTTTATTTAACACGGGGGTAAACGTGCCAGATGCCCACATCATTTTGGTTTTTCTCTCTGATTATCTTTGTTTCTGAACCACAATGCTTCTTGTTTGTGTTGGACCACACTGGGGTTGTCTGAGGTGGGCTCCAGTTGTGGGACTGAGGACTAGCTAGCAGTTTTGCTCACCTGTACAAACACCACAGGGAAAGGAAGTGGGTTGTTTCATTCTGTGATTCTTGATGATTCAATTTTCTTCTCCCTCCTCCGTTGGGCTTTGATCTAAATTTGACAGACTGAGCTGAGACCGATTGATGGAGGTCTGGAGAAAGTTGAGTTCATCAGAGGTGAATGCTTTCTAGACTCACCAGCAGTTTAAATTGAATCTGTTTAATTAACATGAATCTAAATTATTGTTGGTGTTATCAAAATGATACAATTGAATATATGTGAAAATACCTAAATATAGTTCTTGTTAAAAATGTTTACAACTTGACAGTTAAGCTTCTTAAAGCTTCTTAAATACTTGGTGAAGTATTGGCTGACTTGCTAAAAGATAACAAGTATTTTACAAGCTGAATGATTTCGGGGTCATAAGCTGTAAATTATCTTCCACCTAAAAGTCTGTGTATGTGTTAATCTGAATCTTTAGGATGTGTGAATTCCTTTCATTTTTACCGGTGAGTGAATAAAACAAAGGAGGATAGAATTAAGACAAAGAGCTGCAGAACAGCAACAATAAAATTCTGCTGAGCAGCAGTCAAATGATGTGAAAAATATCTTGGCTCTGTTGATGACTGGTCTGCCAGAGGAAACACGGTTCTGATTAGATGTAAAAACATCAACTCCCCGAAGCCAATCTTTTATTCCTTTGACCTGCTTCAGTCTCCTTCTGCTGGCAGACCCGTCAGCAACAGCCCCTCGCTCAACACCAGCAAGAAAAACCAAAACAAGGAGTCAATGACTGATGAAATCACTCTGCGGTTTGTTCACTTCATTTTAAACTGATTCCACAGCATCAATCACACCATTACCATCGATGGGCCTGTGTTGCCAAATGTGGTCCGAGTATACAGCTGTTTGCCAGATTTTTAAAGCATTCAAAAAACAAAAAAGAAACGGCTGAAACCAAAGAAAAGAAAAATGCTAAAAAAGGCTTCAGTTGCAGTAAAGATGCAACCTGGAAATGATGCTGGACTGAGCTGAATTCTTAAAAAAAAGATGATTCAAACACTCCAGCCAGCCCAGAATGTGGCAGAAGAGTTTGTTTAACGGCCACAGAGAAGAGAAATGTACAGGGTGCATTTAATGAAGTCACCTTGTAGTTTTGCAGTAGTTTTCTTCATTGATCTTTGTCTCGGTGCAGTGATTGTATTGTTTTCAAATGGCTACGCTCCATGTTTATATTCTAAGACGCTGAACAGACTTCACATGAAGAGCAGGCAGGAAATCTCTCAACTGTCCACTGGAGGCAGAGACCGCCAAATCAAAACATCTTGACTCATTGTTAATAATGTAGCTTTCTGCTGACTGGGCAGGTTTGCAGGAGAGGAGGTGGCTGGTGGTGAGTGTGTTTTTAACAGACAGGGAGGCAGAGGAGGAAAAATAACAGCTGGATGAGGACGAGGAAAACAAGTCAATCAAAAACCCTCCTTTGGAGGATTTGATCATTTTTTGGTTTTAAAAGCTATGTGTGCTTCGTGTACACTGACCAAGTCAGGACTTCACAGCTTTGTTGTAGTGTGCTTTGTGTAAATCACCTGAACGTTCTGCTGGGCTAGGTTCACACTGCAGGCACCAAGTTTTTACTCATACATGACGCACATCTGATTTTCTTTAGTCACGTAACCAACTCAGATCCATTTTTTCTTTTTTCAAATCTGACCCAGGCCACGTTCACACGTGTTCATAAATTGGACACTTATTTGTCAAACCTTGACCTCCTAAGGGGTTGTTTTGTCACCCAGGTTATTATTCTACATATTCTAACTTAAGATATTGTGTACATTCTGTCCGCCTGTACACTGAAGACCCACAGTGCACTGGGGTCAGTGGGGACCAATTTAGGGAACTGGCTGAAGAGATATGTCCAAAACAAATCTAGCTGCCATTTTTAGTCTCTGGAAATTGTTGTCTAAGTGTTTTCTTCCTTTAATGTCTCCACCATATGTCCACTCTCCACTCCCAGACAAACATGACTGTCCTAGAGGACAAAGGATGACGACATGTGGGAAAAAGGCTGTGCAGTCTTGATGGTTTAGCAGCTCCATTCTCACGGTTCAAGGTGTTAAAGTAGGAAAAATCCCAGTTTTGCTGTGAGGAGTCGGTCTGCCAGGCTGCAGTAACCAATCACACAGCTCCAATTCAACTGACTGGGCACAAGGATGTGTTTGTTTTAAACCACTAACCTACTTTTACCGAAGCTGCAGCGAGCAGAGTTTAACTGGGAGGACTTTTGAGCCGATGCTGCTCATGTGTTCCAAAACCAAGAGGAAATATTTGGAAAATAAGAAGAGAAGAGCTCTTTAGGAAAGATGTGTCGGTTTTTCTCCTTTAGATTTCATCTGAACATCTTATAGTTGACTATGTAATGAATCTTTTGACTTTACCCCATGTTTGATTTGGAATAGAGTCAAAAAGACATAAAAAAGTAGCAGCACTAGTAGCAGGATACTTTTACAAAACATCTTGGGTTAATCTCTGAAAAAAAATAAAAAATCAATAAACAGAAAAACACCTGCTCCAGGTGTTTTTCTGTTCTTTTCTGTTCTTTTTCTGTTCTTTTTCTGTTCTTCTTTCAGTTTCTATATGATAGAAAACCACTGGCTAAGCTCAGGAAACAATGACGCTGCAGTCATTTTTAAGAGAAAGCCAGAAAAGTGTTTTAATTTGATGAGGTAACGTGTCTGCTGGAAATAAGAAAAACAACTGGAAAGAGTCGGTGGAAACAGACCACAGTCGAGCGACACCAGGAGAACAAAAAAGAGGAATGAAGAGATTTGACCTACATATGAGCTAAATCATTCTCTCTTCCCCATGAACCAGAGCCAATCCAAACTGGTTCTCTGGCAGCATCCCACCTTCTTTTATATGCTCTACATGCAGATGTGGCCATAAGCAGCAGTGCAGACTCTGACACTGATATAAAAACAGTAAAAGAGTAACAAAATGTCCTCTTTGTCAGCACGATCAACTCCTTCTTTGGAGGCTCATAATCTTTGATGTCTTGACTGTATCCAGAGAGTTGTATTTACAGTAGATTGTTTGTACCAGTTAACTAATCTATTGGTTGGTAAACAAAAAAGTAGTCTAGTAGTTTTAGTGCCCTGGGGGAGATTATGGTTTGACGTCTCTGTCGATTCTGTGTTGTGATTGTGTGGGGAATTAACACTATAAATAACATTTCTGCTCCCTGTCTGGGTCCTGAAGTCTCCTGACAAATCCTCACTTCTAGACTCTTTGTCCTTATACAAGGTCATTGTGCAGAAGAAGCATTTAAATAACAGGAATCCGACATTTCACGTCAGGTTATCTGTACGGAATAGTGATGACAGGGAATTAACTTTGGGTGTCATTAAATTAAATAAGGATTTAAAGTTTCTCCTAGCCAAAGAAGAAAGTTTTGGTTGCCATGTCTCTCTGACAGCGTCCAATGGAAATACCTTGCTGTAACGTATGCCTATATCACATTCACTGTAGCTTATGTGATTTTCTATGTCCAAAACTTTCCAAACCAGATGTCCCGTATTTACATTGGCAAACTCAGAATGTGCAGTCATTACAGTCTCTATAGGCTTCAGACTGCAGCCTGCATGTCTCACGCGGTTCTGTCCAACATGTCAGAGACATGGTGTGACATCATCTGACTGAGTTGGAGCTGAGAGCCTTCAGAGTCATTTTTATGAGGCCAGTTCGGCAGTTGGTCTTCAGTCATTACTGTAAAACTGATGACAGGCTTTTTTGTCCCATCAGCTAGAGGCAGAGACGTTGAACAGATGGATGGTGGACGGATAGGTTGACTAATGGATGGATGGATGGATATTTGGTTGGATTTTTGGTATGGGTGGATGGATGCAACAGTGGTGTGGTGGCTTGGTGGATGGGCGTTTGGGTAAGTGCATGGATAAAAGTGGTTTGGGTGGGTGGGTTTGTCGGTGTGTGGATAGTTGGATAGGTGGATAGAAGAGTGGATAATAAGGTTGATGGCTGGATGGTGTGTTGGTGGACAGATGGATACATTGTTTGGCGCTGTAGGCTGATGGATGGATGGATGGATGAATTCATAATGAAAAAAAAATCAAGTAAAGTACAAATATACACCGACCTTGAACTTTTTTGATCACTGTCAAACTATTACCTGCCCCTAAAAGGACTTGTTTGAGTCTCACTTTTATAGCACATCTCTCATGGAGTCAAACCCAATCAGAAACAGATCTTGTTTAAAGTAATCAGCTGAGGCCTGAGGGGTGAGACTGAGAGACGTCTGCAGGAGGTGACATTGGTCTCCTAATGAGCTTCCTCTTCTCTGAAGTCCTATAGTGATATCTGAAGCTCGTTAGCTGCTTCCATAGTGTACACCAGGACACAGGGGGCCTGACATAAACAATAGCATCTGACGTTGATAAAAAACACAAATGAAAAAATTGAAAAAAACAGCATGTGTCTGTGTTTACAGTTTGGCACGAAAGAAAACAAGATTTCACATCTGGGCCGCAGTCGTGCCATGTGTTCCTTTCCGGCTCGTGACTTAAAGAAAAAAGGTCTGAAGTTGTTCTGCAGCAGGATTGTAACCACTGAGGCTCCTCATACTGGTCACTCTGCAGCTGCTTTTACTGAGGCAACCATTAGTGATTTCATCTTCATAAAAGTCCTCATCAAACCACAGAAACCTCTAAAGGTGCTGTGCACAACATTTTTACACGTCCAAATTAGGACCAGATTTTCCATAAATGTTCCTACTTCCTGTCCTTCCTTGTTTCTCCTCCCTGTTCCTGGCATTTTGCAGCATCAGTGTTAAAAAAAAACACACAAATGAAAAGCAGCCAATGCAACGTAACGGTAATTTAACAATTCTCCTGTGTCATCACATGACACTGACCAAACTTTACTGTAGATAAAACTATAAAAGACATCACCCTGGACATTTCTCTGACATCTTTATTTTCTTCCCTGAGTCCAGTCCAGAACTAAGATGTCACTTAACCGCAGCATTTTTCCAGTGTGGGCGAAACAGGGAGTGGAAATGAGAGAGCCAACGGTGAGTGGTCACTTAGAAAGAGCCAGAGACGAAGGAAGAAAAAAACAAAACTCTTTTTTTCTTTCCAAGTTCACTTCCTTGGAAAGCTTCAGGGATGACAAAAGAGTTTGTGGGTTTTTTGGTTCTGTAGAGTCCATACAACTGCTGCTTCAGTTTCTGCTGAATCAGCAGACTGAGATCTGAGGGTCAGGCGTAATGATGTCATCATTCTTGCAGTCCATATTAGAAGCTGTTTCCCAGATAGTGTTTCCTTCTTGTGTGGAAAATTAGATGTTTGCAAACATCTCTATGAAATAACTTGAGGAAAAGTACTCCCAGATATGAGTCTGAACTTTTCATTGAAGTACAAGCTAATAATTGTTCTTTGGCATTTGCTAACTTTATTTGTGGTAATTGTTGCCATGCAAAAACGTATCTTATTTATCTCTTATCTTTTCTTATTTATTTGTATATTTTTACCTGCTCCTTCAGCCTTGTTCGCATTACTTTTGTTCTTGGCTAAGTTTAAATTATTTAATCAAACTTTTTTAAGCTCACTTTTGACAGGTTGGACTTGTTTGTGCTGTTCTGGGTTAGCTTTAGGCTTTTTTTTATTTTAATTTATATCACTTAATTTTAAACATTTTCTGGCAATGTTTTAAATTTCTTGCAGGTAACCATTAGCTACTGCATTGGTCAAAACTTGATCTCAGCTGTGTCAGCTACATATTCACCTACTAAACTGTTGAATCATCTTTTATTTAAAATGATAACTTAAAGCTCAATTTCTAAGCTAACCTCTAGCTGTTTCTGCTATTATTTGTGGATTTCTGGACTGCATTTTAACTCAGTAATAGCTGAGGCGTAGGGCAATATGTTTAGCAGCAATAGCATATGACACAAACCAACATGTTTTGACTTTTTTTTACAAAACAGACTCATAAATAACGTAGTGAAAGTACTCTAGTACAACATATTTCAATATATGCAGTATTGTCTAAATTGCATTCACTTACTTGTCCAGCACAAAGTAGAGGTCAAAGGCGCCTTGGCAGGAACTTTCCTCTTCCTCATCCTCCTGCAGCTCCGGCTCAGCTCTTGTAGACGAAGAAGAGAGCAAAAATAATCCCAACAGAAGCAGAAAAAGACGCATCTTTAACAAAAAAAGTTCTCCAGAACCTTCCTTTGTAGATCGAAATACGGGGAAAAGGTGGAAGACTTGCCTCCTTACATCCCAGAGAAAAAATACATTAACAATAGAGACAAAGGAGAGGATGTAGATGGCGCTCACAGGTCTCTTCTGTTCTGTGGTCAGTTTACAAACAGTACCACTCTCATCCCTGTCAAGATTAAAAACAAAAGTCAGAATGGATCAGGATCCACGTACGGCTGCAAACTCTCCAAAAACAAATCCAGATGAGCTTCAAACTGGGATAAAATTGGGAGTTTTAGAGGGTTGTTTTAGAAAAAGAAAAAAAATCTGAAAGTTTTCCTGTCAGTGTCAGCAGTGTTTTTAGTCAGAACAGAACAAATGAGAGTAGGGTTGAGCACAGCGCAGAGTTGGAGCAGAAGGATCTGAGATCCCAGCACACAGACTTGGATGAAATGGTCCAGGTGTCAGATTTCATTTTGAGGCGGGGTCAGAACACAGCACTGAAGTTGGTTTCAATTTGGGTGGTGCAGCACAATCAGCTCTGTTGGTGTGGAGCATGCCACAGAAGATGATAGGGAACATATTTAATTTTGGATATGTGTATAAAATATGAGACAAATATGAAACGTAATGTATTGATGTAATGTGTTCAGAAGTCATTTGCAATAGGAGGATTACATGATCTGAAATCATATTGGAATAAAGCAAAATGTTGAAATAAGTCGAACATAAAGTACTTTTCCCTGAATATTGATAGTAAAGCAGTTTGTAGTTAGTTATCAACCCGCTTGATAACTAAGTATATATATATATATACATTGTTATAAATATATTCAGTTTTAAATTGAGTAAAAGCTGTTTTTTCCTTTTGTTACATCCATTGTTACAATTTGGTTTTTGTATGGAGGCATTCTTGCTTTTAAGACGGAATCTCTTTGGGAAAACATTACAATTTAATAATACAAACTACAACCAGGTAAAAAGTATATGATCTGCTATGTTGGTTTTGGTTTTATGTCATATTTCATAATCCTATATTATCTAGTCCAAAACTGACTTGGGTCAAGTTCCAGATATTTTACATCGCCCTCATGTGGCATTTTGGTGCAACTCGTGACAGGATCTAATGTGGTGGGTGGTTATTTTCTACATTGGTCTTTTCAGCTCTGACAAAAAGTCAATTTGTCACATTGACGTTTGTGTTCATTTACTGTAATGCAGCCGCCTTTAGCTACACCAGCAGGGGCAATTAAAACCGTAACCCTCTGTAATTACACACTTGGATAATGAGAGAGTGGCACTGACACAGTTGATGGAGACTCACACAGTGAAGGCTCTAAGCATGGTCTCTGTAGAAGTCCAAATGTCTCAGTGTTTTTGCTAATTACAAACATTGTTTACTATTAGACTTCAGACAAAATGTCTTTAAAAAATTTGAAATTCTCCTTTAAATTCTTCAAATTGAAAGGATGCTTGATGTCTCAGAACAAGGAATTTGTTGACCCTCAAAGTCTTAGAGTTACTTAACGTCAGCTGAGAAAAAATGTCTATAATTGCAAAAATCTACAATTATTACCAATTATTAATAATAATAATGTAATGCAAACGTCTGTATAAGAAAGTGTTGATTTTACAACCCTCACAAACAGTACTGGCTCTGTTGATGTCATTAAACACAAACAGTGTTTGCACAAAATGACTCTTATCCTGTTTAAAAGGATGAGAGACATTAACAGAGTGAGACTTTACTCCTAATGTCGTTCATATGTCGCTGTGAAACTGCTGGAAACTATTCACGAGAGAATCACGAGAGCAAATATTTCATATCTTCCTTTTACAGCTGTTGGCTTTAAGTCACTGTTTATTTTATGTCAAGTAAAATAAAACATCTGGCAGAAGTTAAGTTCAATTCATGAGAACTGATTTGTCAGTATGTGGAAGAACATGAGCATCACACACATTTGTTTTGTGTTTTTGTCTTTTTTAATTGTATCTCAGCACTGGATCTGACTCACAGCCAATTCTCCCACATTTATTGCACAATATAAACAGTTTTCCTTATATACTGGCAGTAATAGGAAATACAATAATTCAGCAAAGCCAATGTGAATGGAAATGACTTTCACAGCATTTTTTCCAACATGTTTTCTTCTTTTTTATCTCATTAAATGTCTTAAAAAGGATATTATATTCAGTTCACAAAGGTGTAACTTCAGTTTTCCTTCCATTATGAAAGCTTTCCACAGCCATGGCAACAACAAGATATACTTTGTTTGACTGAGTTCCTACATTTCCAACTGGCTTAAAGGCTTTTGTATTAAGAAAAAAAGTATAGCAGATTAAACTTTGGACCGTGAACTCACTACATTCCTTACTTCCTAAGCCAGTCCAGAGACTAAATCTTGACTAAATCTGTTGCCACTGTGGATTTACTTCTTTCTTGCCAAGTGCTTGTTGAGGATGCCCTTGGCTGTTTCCAGGGCAGCTTCGGCGGCCACAGGTACATGGGGTACGATTCCAACTCCCTCCCATGCTGGTCCGGTTTTGGTGTCAGAGTGGATGGTGGGAATGCTGAGGAAGACGTCTGTCTCGCCGACACGGAAGGTCTTAGCTGGGTGGGAAGTCCCGGCTGTTTTCTCTCCAATGATCATAGCTCGGCCGATCTTCTTCATGATATATACAAACTCCTCAGCGGCGCCGGCAGTGGCTCCACTGGTGAGGATGAGGAGACTCTTAGTTGAACCGAATCTTGTGCCTAAAGGAGAGGATACGGAAGAACAGTGTTTAAAGAGGATGGAAAAGTGTTTGGTGTTTAGTCTTTTCAGCCACACATGATGGTTTAACCCACGGTTGTGGAAGTAATTTCAATCAGGAAAATGCTAAACAAATTTGGTCTGGTCCTGTGACCGGCCACAAAACCTCACTTCTACTTGGCCAACCTACAGCAACTACTTATGGTCCATTAGTGGCCCATGTTTGGCTCATATCACGTTTGTGTGGTGTGACATAGGACTCTTTCTCTGTGGTCGGCTGCTTGTTGCTGTGAGACAATCTGATTACATCATGACTTGAATTTCAGTTACCAGTGAGATCAGTGATGGTCTTGAGCTCCGAGGTTGTACCAGTCGTTCTGTCGTACAGCTTGTCCAACACAATCTGCCTGTCAGCATCAAAAAAGTAGGAGCAGAAACCTGAGATGGATGATGTTGGTCCACCGATGTTGTTCCTGCAGGACCAGACACAGAGCATTGACAAGAAACCCACAGTGACGCTGGATTAAAATAGTAAACAGTAAAAACTAAACCACACCTGAGGTCAAGGATCAGCCCTTTAGTGTTGACAACTTTATTCCAGACATGCTCGACAATAATTTGGGCCAGGGGCTTGACTTCCTCAAAGTCTCCAAACATGTCAAAACGGAGGTAGCCGATGTTGTTCTCAAACACATCAGTGTGGAAGGAGACTTTGATCAGGTCGACGTACATCTCAGGAGAGTAATTCTGGCAAAAAAGGCAGATACTTTTATACACAATTGTACTTCAAACAAGTGAAAATCAGATGGACAAGGTTCTTACCATGGGTGGCAGAGGGGGGGTGCTTGTGGTGGTCTTCAGGCTCTTGTCCCCAGACAGGGTTTGCAGGTCAGCAGACAGCTTTGTCTCCAGACTGTTCTGTGATACCACTGTGCTGTACTGGCCCTTTGTCAGGAGACCCTTCAAGCCCTCTGCAACGCTAGTGCCAACGTTCTCAAAGGCATAGTTGGCAGCAATCAGGTCGGCTGATCCCTCAATTATTGCGGGAACCTGGGTGTGGAACTTGACGACGTTGATGGCAGCGGCCAGAGCCTCCTCGGCGCTGACCTCTACATCTGGGGTCACGCCAGTGATCTCCCAGGTGGAGCCTGTGATGGGGCTGGTGGACTTGGCAGTAGGCACAGTGATGTAGAAGTCTGTGTCTCCAACTTTGAATTTATTGACTTTGACTGAACCTCCAGCTGTCTTTTCCCCAATGATGATGGCTCTCTTCAGGCTCTGGAGGCAGTAGGCCACATCTTCAGCTACACCTCTGGTGTTTTTACTGGTGAGGACAATGAGGGGTTTGGTCACACTGTATCTTTCTCCCATCAATGTGGACAAGGTAAAAACCTTAGTTGTGGTGTCAGTGGCTCGGTCATAGATGCTGTCAATATGGGCCACACTCTCAGCGGCAGTGAAGTAAGACACGATATAGGAAAGTCCTGAGATGTCCCCGCTCCCAGTGTGACGCAAGTCAAAGATCAGAGCAGAGGTTGGCAGGATTTTATTCCAGACCAGATCTACCAGCAAAGATCCAACTTTTTCAGCAACATCTTCTCCCAGGATGTGGTCAATCCTCAGGTAGCCAGTGTTGCCCTCCAGAACCTCCAACTTAATGGAGTGCTTGAGGACATCAACAAGCTGCTCAGGGGGCAGTGGAGGCATCTTTGGGGGAACCTCAGGGACGTAGTTTGGCTCATAGGAGACTGACAGACGTGGGTCGCTGACTGTGGTCGCAACTCCTGAGCTGAGGACCCTGGCCAAGGATTCACCATCAGGGATCTTGAGAATCTCCGTGTTGCTGCTGGCTGCCTCGATCGCCTCCTTCATGCCTTTCAGCTTCTCTGGTGAGCAGTAATTGTCCAGGACGATTTTTGCCATATCGACAATGACAGTTGGAGAAAATGAAGCCTGGATGAAGGAAACATTTCCAACAACTAGCAATGATGCTAACAGAATAGTAGCCTTTGCCATTTTTGTGAACTAGTTTCGGCTCAGTTGGCTCCTGAAGTACCAGACCTCCTTCCCTAAAGAGGTTTCTCGTCAAATGGTTCTGTTTTGGCTGCTGTAGGTTTCTGTTAACACACTCTTAAGAGGATTTACCCCAACAATAACCCTGACTAATCGCATTACCCTGAGTGTTTCTGTGAGGAATTTATAAATCAGCTGAGGTGGCGTAGTGACAAAACTAGAGTTGCTCAAGACGTGTTTTTATAGCAGGTATGCTATTATAGTCTAAAGTCAAATAAGGTTTACTCAGTACAGGCAGAAGGATTTTTTATTAAATGATACCTCATATTAAAGAAAAAAAGATAATACAGCTAAAATATGTGTAAAAGAAACAAAATTTAATGTAATAATTTAATTGGTATTAGTCAAAGTTGCCATATTTGCACCTTCGTTGGAGAAGTGAACGGTAACTATTTGGTATGTTGGGTGTTTGCTTCCTCTTGTGGTTAAAGTTTGTACTGCAGGAACAAAGAAGCTGCCAACATTTAAGTGACCACAAATGAACAAATCCATAAAAAAAAAAAAAGAAAAAGAAAAAAGATTCCCGACAATCAGATAAAAAATCATCTAATCCAATTAAAAAATTGAATTCTAAAAAATGATTAAAAAGCCCACATAAATGTATTGATGGACGCAGCAGTGAAAAATCATTCCCAGTTCAGTGATTCAAAAATTATAGATTTTTTTCCCCATGGACCCTAGTGTAAAGAAACATGATGATATAGTTTTTGAGGGAGCCAATATTGCTGTCATTTAAAAAAAATCTTTCTAAGACTTTAGAAGTTTTATATTTTATAGCCCTCTCATAATTGACTAAATATGTTTGCACCAAAAAAACCAAAAAAAAAAACCATCACAAACTCAATCAGGAAACCAATGCATTTCCCGCAATCACTCCCTCTGTGTCAGATCAGCTGATGCTGGAGTATTATGGTGCCATTTGAGGCTTTACAGGTCATGTCTGGGTCACCCACCAGTTTACAGTTGGTGAACACGTGGCAAAGCCTTCTCCAAACACATGCAAGTGTGAGAGTGGTGGAAAACACAGGCTGGTTGTTGATAAAGAAACAAACCTTCAATTGAAATGTGCAAATCTCCACAAAACGATTCAGAAATCTGCATAGATGTTATTTTTAAAGCTTTACCTGTCAGGAATACCTACATTGTTTTAGTTTCAGGTTTTTTTTTTAGTTCTCTGACTTCATCCACTTTCTTGTTATTGGAGATTTTAACTCCACAACCTCATAAAACCCTGATCAGCACATTTTTGCGGCTCTCAACTCATTTTTGTTTTTGCTGAAGAGCTTTGAGCCAGTCTTATCGTCTTAACTTTTAATACCAGCACTTGCTGTACACAACACAATCCCCTTCACTGCTTCTTCTCAGGAGGCTAAAAATTACTGGAGAAAAACCCAACCAAACAATGGCTTTTGTTTTCCATGGTCCTCACGTGTTTTTTTGCAAGTGAGCAAGATCAAATTTACATGTTAATTCAGGTTGTAAAAAATTCTCCAAACATAAATTTAATATTTTTCAGTCAATGTTCCTTATGATAGATTTTACCTGAAACAATATTAGTGAAATGGGCAGAATAAATACATATTTTTGACACAGGTATTCTCCAGTATTTGTACGTGTTTATTTATGTCTGAGTTCAAAATGTCCAAAAGTGAATTAAACATTAAGACATAGGCAGATAAGGAAAATAAATCCATGTAAAGATTTTGACCTTCCATACATAGAGTGATAAACAGTATATTACAGACTGAGTAGATATGAAATGCTCTCTATTCCTTAAAAAAAAAAAATCACATACACATTAACAGTTAAGCACCTTCATTTTGTAGTAGACAGAGTTTTCCATGTTTGGAGCAGCAATGTTGCATGCATATAATATATAATATATAATATATATACACACATACATACATATATGTATATATATTTTAATCACTGAGACTTGGTAATATACAGATACAGATATACAGATGAATAGCCGTAAATAAATGTAACCACAGAATAAAAAAGTCAGTCAAAGATAAAAAATACACGCTTATTATGTACTTGACATACAAGTACAGATTTATTATCGTAAATACTGCATAAAATGTAAAAATGCCAACTTTATTTACCATTGCAACATTTTGCTAGTTTTTAGTAGAGTATGAGTAGAAACACCATAAAAACAAATTTGACCTTTACTAAACTGTCAGCTTTGGTCTGCAGTAGTTTTTTAAACAAATGTTCTATTTGGAAACTGTGACTGATTTACTTCTGCCTCTAACAGGAAGTGCACATTTGTTGTTTTTTGGTGTCTCTGGTGTCTCAATGTCTTTCTTCAAGCCTAACAGTAACATAAATATCTAAATTCCTATGACACCATTTATGCACATCATTCTTCTTGCTAATTTCTAGTGCTAATTGTTAATAAGGTCTGCATGGCATGTGTCAGTATCTAATGTGTATCCATGCATGGATACCAAAGATCGACCAACTTAAAGTACAAATTAGAAAATATTTTGTATGTATCTCTTTAACGTTTCACTTTATTTTATTTCTTTTTATACTTATACTATTTACTCCAACCAACCCTCCAACTACCTGCACCCGCACTCTGCCACCTTCATCTCCTCGTACAGATATCTTATAGTGAGACGTCCATTCTCTTGATACATGACCGTGATGGGGTCCAGTTTAATTGGGACACAACAAGCCATGTTGGCTTTCCCGGGGTCCCTGATGTTGATCAGAGTCTGGATGAGGGCGTGTTTAGATGGGGTGGACTCATCCGTCAGCGGGTGGTAACAAAGACCTCGCCATTCATAGGCGTCATATTCTGGAGGAGCTACAATCCAACTGTCCCAGCCAATGTCCTTGAAGTTGACTTTGAGTGAGGTCCGCCGGCAGTACTCCCTCCCACTGGCCTTTCTTTTGGTTCTCCGTGGATGTTGAGCTTCCAGGATTTCGTTTGGCAGATCTCCCCCTCTGTTCCAGTCAGCGCCTGAGTGCAGGATGGCTTCTTCCTCACGGTGGATCATCTCCCTGAGCTCTTTCTTGTTCTCCTGCCTCCTGCTGCTCAGGTCATCTGAGAACACAATCACAGCTGCTGAGGTGTTTCCTCCAACCGACAGGCTCACATTCAAACATCCTGCTGCTTCATCTCCACCTGGAGGAGCTACACAATCCTTCCTGTCCACCACGACGTCTAAAACAGTTGCACCGCAGCCTGACCTCGACCAGCCCTCGACTGCTGCAGTCACGTCAAATGAGGCCCACACACCATGAGAACTGGTCACCTCTTTGCCCTCGAGTAGGGTCGTAGAAGTCAAATTGTGACCCACCTCGTAGACTTTGACTATTGACTTTGAGGAGGTTATTGACGTGTTGTCTGGGAAAAAGAAGAGCTGGAGTTCAGATGTGACAATCTTCTCATGACTGGGGATGGTGACGTTGAACTGCAGCCTGTGCTTTGTCTTTGTGCCATTGATTAAAGAGATGGTGAAATCTGTTGGAGGGAAACAAAGAGGTTAAAGGGCTGAAGTCTAACAGCAGCTGAGGTTCAGTTGTCTACGACCAGGCTAAAGGTTGAACTGAGGCGGGTCTGATTCAGACCAGTGTGTGGGGCAGTTTTCTCTGGTTGTTAACTAATTGACATTACATGGTTTGGATGAATGAGGGGATTTTGGCTGTGGCCCACGGCCCACGGCCTATGGGTTATTAATGAGGTTTTTGGTCATATGGAATGTTGGGCAAATGTGTTCCTAATCACAGCGCTTACAGAAATGTGATCACAGATGCCGTTTATCTTTTCAGTTAAGTAAATCACTCACTTAACTAATCTATTTAATTAAAAGCACATCTTACAAATACCTTTAAGCTATGTTTCCCAATCTAAGGATCAAGGTCCAATGTTTGGGTCAAAGGCTGATTACCAGGTGTCCGCTAAAAATATTGGTAACTTTCTGTTTCTTTGTAAGGTGTTTTATGTAGTTTACAATGTTAAATATGTGAGAAGTAAATAAATAAATAATTGTACTTGTAAAGTATTGGAATATTACATGAGGTATATTATGAGGTATATTATATAAATAACAGAAGTTAAATAGAGTTGTGTATTTAGACATAAATTGGGATAAAAGGTGGTCTTGCAGTACTTCCACAGAGCCTCTGGGGTGTCTGGACTCCCAGTTGGAGTCATCTGGGTTAAAGACATTATACAAAAATAACTTGTGATTCATTCCGTTATCTGCATCAAAGCAACTAAACGACCACAAAATAGATCATGTAAAGAAGCTGAGCAGGAAGACAAACGGAGTCTTCAACTGTCAACTCTACAGGCTCCTGTACCTTGAACAGAGAAGCTTCTTATGACATCCGACTGAGGGCTGGTGGAGCGGTCTGCAGCATACTTGTTGTAAAGTTCCATCATGAACTGAGGAGGAGACATCTTGCTGTGCTCCTGAGGAACATCTGACAGGTTGAGTTTTTTCAAAAAGCCCTCCTTCATGTTCCCAAGGAGGTTCTCCATCCTCATGTCCACGTCTTCCTTCTCCAGTAGATCATCGTCTGACAGCTGAATGTCTAATCCCTCGGGGTCCTGACTTTCCACGTCATTACTGAGAGGTTTACAGGTGCTGGACCCGCTGTACACGGCCAGACTCAAACACACCTGCAACAGAAACGCTCTGGAGCTCAGCATCTCGAGTTCGATCCTATTTGAGATTCCAAAATGGCCAGAACTTGACCTTCTTCTCAGTGTGAAAACAGACTTTGCGGTGGCAAGGTTTGGAAATGGAGTTTCCTCGTACAGACACAGCAGTCCTGATGTCCGCTCCCATGCTCCCAGTGTAAACAGGAGGACGAGTGTCATCCAAAATAGTAGCTCTTCTGTGCTTATCACTGTCATTGATGGCTTCTTCTGAGCCCTGTTATCATTGGAGTGTTGCCTGCTAATGAAGACACTGTAAACAGTCCAATGTGATAACAAGAGCGGCCGTGGAAAACTGTGAGGTCACTGACAAGCAGTGACCTTTTTCCCAGCTAGAGAGTGAAAGTGAGGAGGCCAGCGGAAACTGCAGCGACCACGAGAAAAACCAAACAGAACTTCACATTCTCTGCTACTATTACTTCAAGTTGTTATCTTCCTTTAAAAACCACTGCACCGTTGACCCCACACATTTAATAGCACTGTCTGGCACCATGTAATGTCTACGAATCCCTGACATGAAGACAATTTGGGTGAACCCGCAGATAAATATAGAGAAGTGTGTATATATATATATATATATATATATATATATATATATATATGCACACACTGTAGTATATAGCAACAACACCATCACACGTGTTGTACAATATGTGGGTGGACACTGCTACTGTAGTATAATTTAGGTGGTAGTATAATTAGCTGTAGGTGGAACATATCACCGTTGTTTCCGACATTGTCCTTAATTCTGAGTATGTTGTATATGCTATATGTGTTTGCTCCTAAACACAAAAACTAGCCAAGCACCTCAAGACATAACATATAGGTATGTGGCAAAATGAAAAAGTAGCCAATGAAAAGTATAAATTGCAAAAGGTAAATCAAACAAATCAAATTTAGATAAGAAAAAGCTATGAATACATGTAATTATATTTATTTTTAAAATGCACAAATGCAATATGTAGCACATACTCTGAAGGATTAACGATAATGAAAAGGAAAGGCCCTAAATCAAAATAACTAGCCCTAAAGTATCAACAAATGTATCCAAAGATGGTTAAAATTGGGGAAGTCAGAAAGAAGTCAGAATTACCAAAACACAACTCCCATAATGAACGACAGCCAAACACTAATTAAACTAAACTAAGTAAACTGAAGGTAGGGGTAATGATAAACAGCAGCTATATTTTTCAGATAAAAAAAAAATCCAACTGCACACAAACACTGTCCAAAATCGGTGCTTTAATTTCTTTCCCAAAAACAAAACATACTATATTATTAGCGAAAACATTATTAAAGCAGGACATTACACTTTTAATAATATTATTTAACAGTAATGGTGTTGATGAACAGCAGGTTATGGTTTGGTTTATGTCTAATACAAACATGTATGTACACCTATGTCTATATACTTATTTTATAAAATGACTTTCTGGTTTTATGTACAATTTCAGAATATTATGTATGATGCACACATTATATCTGTGGTTTAGTGGTAAGAAATAACGAGCAGTTATAATATGACAATCCTAACGAGTACTGTACATTTTACAAACTGTACACGAATAAGCTGTTAAGAGTCCTCGAGTTGACCAGCAGAGGGCAGCATTATACCATTTTTCTCCCTCTGCTGTGTCAAGATATGCGAAACTAAGCTTTAGTTCTTTAAGCTCTGACATATGAAATACAAAAATATTATTAAGTTTGCGTAAGTAGCTGTAGTATTTACACGAAATCCCCGTGGAATTCTGTTGACATGTAAATGTGCTTTCTCTTAACACAGTGTCCAAAACCCTCCTACAGAGTCTGTTCAGTCAGAGTTCCTGTGATGATTCTTGGTGACAGAAATGAGCACAACAAGATACAGCTGCTGCCAGAAAGTTTTTAGAACTGAACAAAAGGAGCATAAATGGGCTGCGAAAGATCCCAACGGAGACAGAGAGATCACTTCTTTAACCTTTCCAACAAACGGAACAATCGGTACAGAGGTTTATACACGTTTCTTTAAGTGCATTTAAAACGGTTATGCAAAAAGAAAATCAGACACAAGAGTTTTTCTCAAACGTTTTTTACAATGATAACTTCCATGGTGTGTCTCACTCTGACTATCCTTCTTGCTTTGAATTGACTTCTGATTTCTGTCCAACCACTGTCCACAGTCTTTGTCCTACCGACAGGCACAGGTGTCCACAGACATTCCAGGGTAAACCTTCAGGACCATGTTCCTGCTCAGATCCAGGAAAAGCACGCTGAGAGGACTCATCTTCTCTGGAACGCAGCAGGGCTCGGGGACACCAGGCACGATCCCCACTGCTCTGACGATGCTCTGGATGGTGGCGTGGTTGGACGGCCGTGCCACCTGTTGGCCGGCACATCGACACATGTGTAAGGACAGAGGTTTTCAAAGTTATTCAGGCCAGGATGGTGAGTTGGAGCAGGGACCCCTAACTTTGCAGTTTGACAAAATTGTGTTTTGTTTAAACAAGGCCCAGTGACATGCAAAACCAGACCTTGCATTTAACAATGATTTCAAGGATTTCAAGGATTTCAAGGATTACGTACTCATGTTTTATCAAACCCGCAAATTATTAAATTATAAATAAAATACCATCAACCAAAAATTTCCAGCCCCCACACGTAGCATTCTAGCTGACCTCTTGGGGTCACAGTGTCTCTTTTTAGAATTCAAACATAAAAATAGTTTTGATTTGCGTACACATAATTAGTCGTAGGCTGGGCTATCTTTGAGCTCTTTCTGTTGGTCATTTAAAAAAAACATTGCCTTTTGTAACTAACTGTTAGCAAATTTGGTTAAATATACACATACATATATGTGTATATTTAATGTATATAGGTTGTTTGTTATATCTAACCCTTGCCTAATATTTGTTGAATAGCTATTTTATAGATTCTACGTGACTTACTTTTGGGATGGGGAACCCACAGGTCCCGGCGCAGTAGTAGGCATCAAACGACTTTGGTGCCAGAACCCACTCACTCCAGCCGATGTCGGCGAAGTCCACTCTGAGGTACCTCCTGGAACAAACCCTGGGCTCACTCCATTGTCTCCTCCTGGCTTTCTTCATAGTTCTCTCATCGAAGCTCAGCACCTGGGGCGTGTTTAGACCCTCACTGTTCTCCTTAATTTGTTTCTTTGCTGGTTTCACTCCTGCTTTGGATTTTGCTGGAAAATAGGTGTTCTGCCACAGTTCGTGATTTTTCAAAGTGTTGAATTGAACCTCTGGGATGTTATTTGTTTGGCTCTGGACCTTAAGTTCTCTCCTAATCCTTGAGGCAGAGGTTGAAGTGGATATGTCGCCCCCTTCTGGGAAGGGTCCGTATCGCTGCAGTGACAAAGCCACACTGTTTGGTTCACCTATGGCTTGGTCATCAGCATACACAAGAATATACGGTAGATTCTCAGATGTGAGACGTGTCTGAGATGCTCCAAACTCGGCATCGAACTCTAACGTTATCAAAAGTTCCTTGATTTCTCGAGCGTGCTTCACTATCGCAGTAACATCCCTTGATTGCCAGGAGCCTTTCTTGAAAGGAGCCAGAGTTATGTTTCCTAACTTCACAAAAGGTGAATTCGTGCCCTGGAAGAAAAGTTGAGGGACGGAGGAGAACTGCACAGACGGATGGCGAGGTCTTCTAAGACGCATCGATCTTTGGTAGTGACGCTGGCGCTGGTAAAGGAAGTGGAACGATGCGGACAAGATGAGCTCTGACTCTGGGATTGTAGACAGATTGAACTGGAAAACCTCTTTACTGTGTGAGATCCCTGAAGAATTTGCAAAAAAAAAAAAGAATTAAAAATTAAACAACAAACATAAAATGATCTGTTTCATCATAGGGTTAAAAAAAGCTAAATCTAAGATTTATCTAAAACTTTTGGGGTGAACAGCAGCACACTTTTATGTAATCTAGATCTAGTTGTTAGCTGTATATATGGGACATACCTGTGATTGTTATATTAATCTATAGAGAGCTATTCTTTTATTTTATTAAATTCTTTTACACAACCTACTTCGAGATATTTTGCAATTTTCATAACGAGCCTTGCATGTTTTAACCCTAAGAAGCTATAACCCGTTCTCCTCCTACATCTCTGCAGACATCTTGACGTTGAAGGCTGTCTCCAACACTTCCACCACAGCCAGGAAGACAAACAGCGGCTGGATCCAGAAGGCCTGCGTCGTAGCAGCCATATGGAAGTGCTTACAGCAGAGGGAGCTCCACTGAGGGCTTCTCGCTCTGCAGCCGGTGTCTGGTGTGATAATAGGCTCTTGTCTAACACCTATGGCTCTCACAGCTACTGGGGAACTGACAGCACTCCACACAGATCAGTAGATGAGCAGTGACAGTGGGAGCTCAGAGGTGTTTGGATGCATCGCTGCTGTCTGACAAAAACACACCTATGTAGGGAGTTGATTCTCGTTTTTCCAAACATAAAATTATTTCAAATTCTATCAGCTGCAACAATCAGATTTACATTCTCCTTTTTGGAGCAGGTGAAGATAATTCTTTTTTTATTTATTTGTATATTTAGTATCACATGCATTACTCGAACTTTGCAAACACGGCAGTTTCTCTTGGTGCCAAATGGAGGCACCAAAACTCTGCTGTCAGAGATTTACATTCAAGTGATGATTTTATGTTTTGGAAAACAATTTCAAGGTGAAATATTAAGCCATTTCTGAGTCAGCATTGTCCAAATGGCCACGGTTTTCAAAGTGGGTGAAATGCAGCTCCAAACTATAACAGAGCCTCTTCTCTCCTTGATTTATTAGCTGTCTTCCTAAAACCTGGTCACTTCACGCTGTCAGACCTTTAAACACACATTCTTTTGGTGTATGTAAATATCAGTATATATTTTTTGTACACACAATTTATATGGTATCAGATTTTAAACTTCCCCTAAAAGCCCGGTGCAGAAGTCTTTAACACGGCTCTGCTACGCAAATACTGAGAAAAAAGAAAAACAAAACTCAAATTCTGCATTTGCTTATATATTTTTCTATACTTTCTGAATTATTGAGTGTTGATGCATCATCCTTGAGAAATTATAATTTATTTAATGTTTCATCAAATGAATCTGTAGGGTTGTAAAAATAATAGGTCTGACATTTTAACTGCTACGTATAAAATATTCTGCTTTTAGAATCAATTTAAAATAATGTGAATTTTATCGCTCACTTCAAACTTCAAAATCCTAAATTTATTATATTTTTATATCACGAAACATATATGTTGAATTTGTGAAATTTAATTGTAAATTATTTTGCGCAGATATTTCAAATATTCTTGGGGAAAACCTGAAAACTAAATCTAAAACAAATTTAAAATCAAGCAAACAAAAAAGATTTTGATCGTTTTTAAACATAATAATATGGGGTATTTTAGATTTATTGAATGTATTCTGAACTTCTCTAAAATGAGTTAAAGATATCGTCATTCAGTAACAACCTCAGCAGTAGAACGTCGTAGATAAAACTCTATTTTTTTCTGATTAATGTCAAAGTGACAGAAACCAACTCACTCGGCTCGGCCTTGAAGCTCCTCACGGTGTTCCCGTCCTCCTGACTCTGCGGATCTTCACGGTACTTTTCGTAAACTTTGAACATGTTGAAGGAAATCATGTCCCGGTTTGCGTTTTCCTGCGCAAAGACGCGCTGCTCCGTACCCGGTTCCACATGTGCGCCTTTGCGCACGGCGGCGCCGGTGTCCTCCGGTGCCAGTTTAGCCCAGATGGAGTCAAGGATCAGAAAAAAGTGCAACAAGTTGAAGATTGTGCTTGACATGGCTGATGTTCCTTCTGGTGAAAGTTGGAGAAACTTTAACATGTACTTGTTTTGTCTGGCTACGCAAATACTGAGGTCTCTGTCTCCGTCTCTGTCTCTGTCTCAGCTCCAGCTGCGGTTCGATCCCCTCACTGCCTGGGTCCAGGTAATCCGTGACTAAGTCAGAACCACACTCCACCGTGCATGCTCCACAGATGTTTGTGCCGTTCTCCGAGATCTGCTCCTGCTCCTGCTCCTGCTGGGCGACGATGATGATGGTGATGATGATGGTGATGATGACGACTGAGCGCTCACAGCCAACCAGAGTCAAGCTGCCTCGCTGATGAAGAGCTCCATTGATTAGAATCGAGGTCTTGGAACACTGGATCTTCTTCCCACGAGAGAACTCACACTGGCTGTAAATATATCTGCTGTAAAAAGTTTGGTCTGCGGCATCAGTCAGAGGTGAGAGTTTAAAAAAAAGACGGGTCAGGTTTTGGGTCAGAGTCAGTGCTGGAGCCGTGAGGGTCAGACTCAGAAATCTTCAGCGGTTAAAAAAAAGATGACATCAAACACAGGGAATTGTCATTATCATTAATATCAGTCTGTTACAGTTGGTGTTTTTGATTTAAATCATCCTGAAATCGAGGCTGATTTAAAACAGACCGTTTGGCTGCAGCAGCAACAGAGTTGAACTAGGAAGAAGTAAAAGGAATAAAAATAGTAAAAAACAGTTACCAAGGAGCAGCAGTTACAGTTTTATACTGACTGAGTGCTTAACAACAATGGGATGTACTGTACAGTAGGTAACACTAAGATGGTACATGTACATGCAGTGTGGCTGGAAAGACTGGGCTTCTTTAATCTGGGTTAGACTCAGTGGATAAACATACAATGACAGTTTCCTGAAAAACAATTAGAACAGAAAACGTAGTGGTTTCTTTTCCATATACTGATGAGGAACATCTCAGTTTTTAGAGATGGGTTTGGCACCCGCAGCTGTTCTTGTCCTGCGGGTTTATTTGCCTGCTTTTTAAAACCAATGTAAAAGTCCCAAAAATGCTGGTTTCCCTGTAACAGTGAGGAACCACAGTCAACATACTGGAGGTTTAAAACTGTTCTTGGGGCCACACGATGGAGCGGTTAGTACTTTTGCAATACAGGAAGAAGCTCATTGGTTTAATCCTTGGGTGTATGGAATGTGTTGAGTTCCGTGAATGGTAGTGTGAATAGTAGTGTGAATGGTAGTGTGAATGGTAGTGTGGATGGACTGGTCAATTGTCCAGCTAAAGTGCTGGGTTTGGTTCCAGCTCCCTCCACAACCAACCAATTTCCTAATTAGTGTAGAATAGAATTATATTCAAAGTAGTAAAAAAAAAAAAAAAAGTTTCAAGTGAAAAGGTTTTTTTTGGCACAGTTTGAACTATGTTCGGAATGGAATTTGTGTTTAGGAATCTTGAACAATGAGCGCTGAGCGACGCTGCCAAACAAGGCAAGGAGCCTCTGAAGAACTACAGTGTCTGCATCATCCGCTGTGTCTCCGACGTGTCTGCAAGTCATTACTCTGTTGTTAAAGCAGCTCAAACGTTTGACATGAAGATTTGTAAAAGTGGGATTGTGCAACAAAGCCAAGCAGCTAATGGCTTCATCATTCTGGATTTCCAGACGGTTTGAAAGGACAGAAGTGATAAAAGCAGGTTAAAACAACGTCTCCTCAGGACCAGGGTTCTCCTACAGGTGGAGCTGCTCCTGGTATTTTCATAGCTTCATGTGGGGAGAGGTGAGAAGCCAAAAGCAGGAGATTCAGTCTGTTTTCAGGGTCCGGCCTCTGGTTTCTGAGTTTGTGATGCAACATAATAGTTTCTCTGTGTGAGAGATGGCAACAGGCTGCAGCCACCGTGGGTCAGTGGGCTATTAAAATACCTCCTACTGGTCCTCAGGAGGATCACAAGGGGGCTCTTTGACACCACCATGTCCTACACCATGTTTTGCCCAAACCACCCAACCCACCCCCCCCTCCCCCCACTCCACCTTCTTAGTCAAACACTGGTGTGTTTGAAGGTCGTTCTGCCTCGACCTGAAGCCTCTCGCAGCGTCCAAACTCTTCCTGCAGGAAGTTAATCAAAAGTGTTATTGCTCATTTTGAAAGTGACTAATTGGTTCTCACTGAGTTACAAAAACTAGTCCTGTCCCTCTACATGTTTTTTGGTTGATGTCATGTTTTTGTACGTTGTTTCAAAAAAATTGAACAGAAAACAAAAGAATTTGCATTGATCAATTCATCAAACGAGTCATTTTCCCCTTTCTCAGTCTTGTGGTTATGCAAATAATGACTTCTCTCTTTTCAGAGGCAACGACCAAAGCCTGAATTTTCTCTTTTTTTTTTCTTTAAATGGCCCCCAGGGACCTGGGGGCCCTTGAAAAAAGTACTCTGACATTGTTATAGAACCACAAACCCGCTGAGGAATGAGGTCAGGGAAGATGATTGTGTTCAAAGGACCGGACTTTGATATTGGAGACCACAGTTACATGCAGTCGACCACCACCAACAGCTAAATCCTGGTGTCTTTAAAGTCAGACCACAGTCTTCTATGGACACGGTGGTGCAGTGGATTAAACCTGTTCTCACTGCTCTGTAAAAAAAAGAGCATTTTAAAAAAAATCTTACTACAACCTCAGCAACAGCAGCTGGTTCCAGAACTAATTTTGAGTTTTGCGTTATTTATTTATTTATTTTTTATTCCATAAATCACTAAAAATGCTAAAATTTTATACAGTAGATTTTTGATTTGTTCCTGTTCTACATTTCCCATATTGGACCTGGTTGTCAAAGTCTTTTGAGTACACAGGTCTGTTTCTGTTCAATCTAGAGTTTCTTCTTTGTGTGTTTTATGTCAGTGGACCTGGTTTTCTCTGCTGCCTTTCTCCATGTCTAATCAGGTTTACCGCCTGTGTGATTGCCTTTTCCTGTCCTAATGTCTCGCACCTGTGTCTTATTGTCCCTTTCACATTTTCTTTGTTTCCTTTCCGTCTCTGACAGATTGACTTTGTTAGGAGTGACTGTTTCTATCCTTGCTTACTTCAGTTTCATTCTTTTCTAATTTTGACCAATGACGGTCCTGAGTCTGATTAACCCACTGGCCTGTGATTGGTCAGCTCTGCAACAAACTGGTTTCTCTATTTAAAGTTGCAGTAGCAGGAAACTTTACAAAATAACCCTGGACGGGTTATTGTTTATCAAGTCAATCCCATCAGTCATTAAAGATTTACCAATGTGAAATTGCGCCAGTAGGTGGCAGTAATGCCACTCACAAAATTAAGATCTGCTGGTAAAGCTTAAAGGACACGTGGCTACAGCTGTTAGTAGGGTTAGCTTGGACTAGCCTTGGTGAAGATTGGTGAAGACTAACATGTTAGCTGCTACAACAATGCTAACGTGCAACTAATCCACTATGTACTAGTGTGGCCTGAACATGCCAACACATAGGGCGGTAATGACCAGCTAACTGCTAACTTCACTGCTAAACCGCTGTTATTTAAGACCATAGAAAGAGAAGCAGGAAGTAAGGACGAAAATGTAGACTAATTTCAGGTTTTTAGATTTATGTAAAATCGAGTTCTCTCCAGTTTTTAGAAATTTGCTCTCATTCAGAAACTGTTTGTCCGTGGTCCTAGTCTGGACAAGGAGGAGGACAGACAACTCCACCATGTTTCTTTTCTTGGCCTAAGACCCTCGTTTTGCTCCTCATATCCTCCTCATCGGCCACAGATTCTTTTCCTCCTCCTCCTCCTCCTCCTTCACCTCCGCCTCCTTGTTATCTGCTTCCCTTTTGACTTGTTTTTGGTTGGAATGGAGTGACTGTTCTGCCTCAGTTGAATAAGGATGTTTTTGTGTGTGTGTGTTTGTGTGTTTCAGAGGTTTTGAAGGCCATGACATCCCATCATAAGGTCACTGCCAAAGCTTCAACAAACACACACCAATGCTGGATTGTGTGCTGCAGTTATTCCACTCCACTTCACATCAGCATCAGTCAATCAAGTGAGAATGAAAGACAGCTACACACACACACACACACACACACACACACAAACACACAAACAGACCCACTGAGCACCCACCCACTGCTTGTGAGGCCTTGAACCAAGTAACCATCATGTTGTTACTTCTTGGAGCCAACATTCCTAGTTCTCAGATACAGGAAATGTTCTTTATCAGAGTTTTTTTCCAGTCATTCAAACCACAGCTGAACACAGTTAAACATACATTAGTTTTTGGTTTATTTTTTTATGCGTTTTTAGTAATACCATTGTATCTTTCTGGGTGAAGACTTGATCAATCTGACAGCCAGTCCTGATCGTAGCCCATATATTGGAAGTGGACCCAAACAAACGGAAACAAAAGTGAGAACCAGAATGTGGAACTAAAGGGCCTGAACCTCTGTGGCTGCAGCAGTGCCAGCGCTGAGACTCATACCTGCAGGAGTCAGAGCTGGAAATTTGTGCCTGACAAATTTATGACTACAAATCGCTGCAATTTGCCAGATTCAATATTTAAAAACCAACACTTTGACATGTGAGGAGACAGAGACAGAGTTTATTCGTGACTCACTGGTGTAGAACAGTTACATGTTCCTGCGTGTGTCTGATGATGACGTGCGTCCACAGACTCGGCTCCACTCATGTCCTGTAAGTGGAGAAAAATGTTCTTCTCTGACTGTGGACGTGTGAATAACAGAAGTTTTTATTGGGGCTGTAAAACATATTGTTCAACTTGAGATGGAAATGTTCAGTGAAGCTGACTATACTGTAAGGTCAAACACAGCTAAAGAACAGTCAGGTTAACTCTTTGACTACAACTCAACAATACTTAGCTAATACGGTGCTGAAGGTCCACCAGTGGTCAATGAAACAAAGCCAGAGACAGCTTTGTCATTTGATAAATTGCCTTAGAAATTCTCTAAAATTCTGCCAAAAATATATCAAATACTTGATGATTCATGTGACATTCATTCAGACCAGGCACAAAAAAACGTTTTTTTTAACCCAACGTTCAACTAATGCTGCACAATTTGTGGCATTAGAGAGAAAAATAAAGCAGAGTAAGTGGAGGAAACAACCTCAGGAAGCAGAACGTTTCTGAAAACAAATTAAAAACCCATAAATCCGTAGGTGGTTCCCTTCTTTATCAGATTGGGCCTAATGTCCAGGTACGTGTTCATATGTCCGCCGAACGTTGGCTGTGTTCACATCATATCTGCATATCAAGGAAACTGGAGAGCGGCCCGTCTGATAAAAACACGTCCTGGCCTCTCAACTTCATCGTGCTTCAAAACTAAAACCTGGAAATCTGTGTTGACTCAAACTGATAAACTTAATAACAGGAAGGATATTAAACCAAGTGGATATCAAGTTGTGCAGTGGTTCGTGCTGCTGCGTCATAGCGCGGAGGTTGTCTGACTGAATCCTGGTTGGACCACGGTCTCCGTTTGTATGCAACCGTCTCGATGCAGTACACACAGAGTAGAAAAACTCCAGGACTGTATACAGTACAATTAACTCCATGCCCCGTTCATGTATTGATGATTTTTCATGAATACCATGAGAAGAGATTTGTGATCGAAGCTCTGACCTTCTGTCTCTGAAGCAGATGGTTCTGGGCCAGACTTTCAACGACATTTTTAATAGTTTACAGCCCAAAATAGAAGTTTTCTTTTTTTTAACTGGTGAGATTGAAATGAAGTTTTTCACTTTAACAAGACCTGCTTTTGTTACTTTCCAGAGCAGCCACTGGAGACTGCGCTCACCTCCTCAGAAAGTTCACAGCTTGTCTGAGTGCGTGGTTGCCTCTTGTTTGGACCTTCCTGCCGTCTGCCGTCTGTAGCCCACAAAAACATGTCAGCTTGACCTGGTGCCACGCTGCTGTCGGTGTCGTCCACGTGAAGACCTACCTGCTCATTTATCATCCTGCTGCAGACAGTGGTAATGAGCTGCTCCTGGACGTGCGAGGGCTTCCCTCCTGAGATCCAAGCACCTTGTGCAGAATCCAGAACCTCCTCAAAAACAACCCCACACAGCAGCACCAACCCTCCTTCTCCCCCCCACGGCTCCACGCAGACAAGGCCGGCAATCAGCGTGATGGATTTCAGCCCTGACGCCGCTTTTTCCCCAAGCGGCCCAATTAGGAAAATACTTTTGTGGGTTGTTTTTTTTTTCTCTTTCTCTAACTTCGCCAGGTTCTCTTTGTGTCTCACTGTACTGGAGACCACAAGATGGATTGACTCTAAAGAGGGAATTTAGTTTCATTATGGTTAGGAAGAAGGGCTTGTGGAAATCCCTTTTGCACAAAAGGAAAGTGAGAAACCAGATCTTAGGTCTGAAGCTGAAGGTGATGAAGTCCTAAACCAAGACAAATACGTGCGAGGAGGTCTAAAAAATGACTTCTGTGAGCCGTCTAAGCCTCGATTGGCACCGAGGAGACTGACTGAGCTCTGATAATCACACTAATCACCAGAGAAACACTCGCAGCCAAACTTCACAAACTCCTGCAGTCCAGTGTGTGACAGAGGAGTCTGTGTGTCTCCCCCAGAGAAGAAGCTTTCATTAGTAAATGGTGATCGCTCTCCTCCAGCGATTCTTCAAGACGGCAACTCTCTCTCTCTCTCTCTCTAACAAGTTGTTTTAGCAGTTTCTCCTCAGACAACCCCC